TTTTTTTTTTTTTTTTTTTTTTTTTTTTTTTTTTTTTTTTTTTTTTTTTTTTTTTTTTTTTTTTTTTTTTCAAATTCACAAAATTTAAGTCTTTAATAACACTGTATTATACTACCTTTACATCAATATAAAGGTATACAATTCTAATAATAGTTCTTGCTAAATAACAAACATACGCAATCTGTGTTCAAATTATATTTTATTATAAAGTATTTCTTTTAAAGTAGCAATAGGTGTTAATTATAAATTGTATGAGTATGATGATAACTTGTCTTTAAAACATTTTTCTAAGCATAATTATAAATGTACTCGATTCCATGAATGTTGTGTTATATAGAATGGAAATTTAAAAATATGAGAGAATTTTTTTAAGATTAAGAATTTAACGGACGCATACAAATAGTGCACATTTTATTACTCATTATATCGAAAACGTTTGTGTTTTCTTTAAACATGCTACGTATGTAGCAAAGTTTCCTGAATGACAGAGCTTTACAAAAATATTTAGCCGATATTTATTAAATTCACACCTGCTTTTATCTTTTTAATACTAGAATAATAAACAAACTGCCCCATCTGTTTGCAAGGATTGTTTTTGTTTTTTGTTTTAATTTCAAGATGAGAATCTATCAGAAACTAAAAAAAAAAAAAATAATAATAAAATGTACTAGCAATTCTATTATCATGTCAATTCCAATTTTTGTCTGTACTTGTTTTAGCATAAATTCTTATTCCTAATTTGTCAACTGAAATAAATTATTTGGATCGGGGGAAAAAATGTTTTAAAGTATATTTAAGTGGTAATTAGTAATTTATCTGAAGAAAAAATATAGCAGTTTGATTCAAACGTTGAATTTTTTTTTAAATCATCAACTGAATAATGGAAAATTTCTACTATTTTGTAAACAACCCATGTCTTCTTTTAAATAATAATGTAATACCGTTAATATACGATTTAAAAAATTGACAAGTTTTGATAACCCATAAAAATGCATAGACCTTTCTACTTACACTTTTTTATTCTTTTTGACTATGGTAAAACTTGGAAATATTTAGAAAAGTTAAAATTCACGTATGTTGATTATTATATGCAATTATTTTATTTATTTATTTTAATTTTATTTTTATTTTTTTTTTGCGATTAACTTTAAAAAATGACGTTAGCAGTGGGTTTCTTTTTAATGTGATGAAAACCTTTTTTTTTTCTTTGAAGATTCATTTATTTAATATGTAGATGAACCCAAAAAGGTTTAGATCTAATTAAAAAATGAAAGCCATATTACAATTTAGTAATATTAAAAAATATTTGCATCATCAAACTACATCAAGCAGAATTGTCACTCAACTTTTTGAGGCCACTTATGCCATTGTTTGGTTTTGTCCTCCCTCACCTTGTATTGAAAGATGATAAGTAAGGAAATATCCACATCACATTCACATCTTTAAGCCCTAAAATGTCCGAGGCACACTACAGTCGTAGGGATAGCTGAGCTCACACGATGTTTATGTGACATCTACATTTTTTTATAACAAGCATCTCTTACGTTGCTCTCCAAGTGTAGAATGTTACAAAACTAAATTTAAATATTTGCTAAAATGCATTTCTTTATTTTGAATTTATTAAAAAAAAATGCTAGGAATTATAAAGATTTCATAGACGATATTTAGCTAGGATAGATGCATACCCTTAAGAGCGCCACAACTGGAATGAATTTAGTTCATGTCCCGCTGGTGCGGCGTTAAGGTTGTCTTTGATCATTCTATGGCTAATGTTGGCGCTTACCACGCGAAAGTTTGAATAGCACCTCAAAAGCGTCTGAAAGAAACATCAATTTAAAGTATGCACCAAAATTCACCCCTGCATTTTAAATTTGTGCGACTGTCTTCAGCACCCTCAATTTCTACACCCCTTTCCCACGCTGATTTATATTACAATTTAGGGTTGAATATAATCTTGTGCAAAATGATTACCCTGGGGCATGCCTTAATTGGAGTGAATTCAGTTTATGTATGGCACTGGCACCATAAAGCCTCCCCGACTTTTTAAAAGGTCCTTCCCGTGATCAAAAAGTCTTTAAAAAACATTGAATTTAACTATACACCAAAATGCACCCTTTGATTTTAAAATAATAAAAAATTCTAGAGAGATTCATCTTGCTTACTTACTTATGCCTTTTATCCCGTCTGGTCATAGGGTGTCTCACAAGAATTTTTTCCATTCATTTCGGCACTTTTCTTTCCTTTCTAGTTGCTTCCAGGTGTATCCCATACTTTTTATATCTGCCTCTAGCTCGCGTCTCCTTGCTTTTTTATGGTTTCTTCTCTTTATTTTTTCCCTGTGAATTTTACGTTAGGGATTTCTGGTGATTTTATCTGGGAATTTGTGAAGAGTTTGCCCTATCCACCTCCATCTTGTCCTTATAATGTCTTAAGCAATATCCTCCTGGTGTGTCCTTTCTAGTAAGTCTTTGTTGGTGATGTTTTTAGCCACTTGATGATCAAGATCTGCACTTTCAGCTTAATGTTTGCTATTGTTCTCCAAGTTTCGGTTCCATAGAGCAGGACTGTTTCAAAATTTTTGTTTAAAATTCTGACTTTGGTTTGAAGAGTCAGCTCCTTTGACTCCAATATTTTCATTAATACCACAAATGCCAACCTAGCCTTTCCAATTCTAGCCCTGACATCAGCTTCGGATCCACCATTTAAATAAATGGTGCTGCCTAAGTATGTGAAAGCCTACTGGCACTGGCAACTGAAGAAGATTTACTGGCTTCTCCAAAACTTTAAATTTTAATTCAAATTATTTAATGAATTCCCAAGTTGTGAAGGCCCCGGAAAGAAACAGATGTTAATCTTGACGAAGCCTAAATATTGATCAATTTGTAAAATTTTGAAATTTAATTCTGACTGGGACATCTTACACTCTCTCATTAAGTTTTCAATTATTTATCACCATCTGTGTGTCGACATCTTCATGTAAGAGGAGAATTTTGAAAGTAAATATATATTAGCGATCTACCATGAAACAGTCCAGGCTTTCTGGTATTGTGACTTTGCCAATAGCAATTTGACAGCTTTGCATCTGTAAAGGCCAGGAAAATTACGTTTCAATAGCGAAGGTTTGATGTTTCAATAACAAGTAATTATAACCCTGGACCCCCACCCCCAAAGCATATGTGCTATACACGAGGGTGAACTTTCTAGACACAAGCATATCCCCCCGTCAAATTTTGCCTCGGCCATCTTCGTATTAATGACGAATAACTTCAAAGTTGCAGTTTAAAATAACAGGCTTAAGTCAAAGTCTAAGTTTGTTTGGTTTTTGTTGTTGTTTTTTAATTAACCCTTAAGGTTATTTTTTTCTCGCCTTTTATTGGGAAAAATCACTTTAAAATATTATCAAATAGTTGCGAAACCAACCTGGGATTAACTTTCAAAAGAAAGCTTATTTACACATGAATGGTTTTGTCGTGTACGGAGCCGCAGGAACTTAAAAGTTGACGTCTTACAAATAGGTATTTATTCAAGTTACTGTACCCTTGACATTGTAGTTATAGTCTTGTTGTTATTAACAATGTCGTACCGAAAGCCACAAAATATTCGCGATATAACAAAAATTTTAAGTAAACTGAGAGATTGGCTATTGAGTGTAAGTGTAATTAATTCGTTGTGTGTGCAACCCCAGCTTTCTTTGATTATTTTAAGCAATAAGTTTTAGTTGTAGAGCCTAGTTCTAATAAATTCTAGGCAATCCTCCAAAGTCCGGTCCCAAATTATTTCGTATGAAAAAAATTGCAATGCACAGTGTCTATTGTTAGAAAACAGCAGAAATGTCAATCATAGCTTTTGCAAATAACTGTCACTTTAAAAACCAGTCAGTAAACACTAAATATTGTAATTGGCACATAACATTTGGAAATAAGAGCCGAAAACGTTCTGCTTGTGACTGTTGCACCACTGAAGGCTCCAAGTAGCTGGCAAACAGACCGCAACTAGTACCAAACTGATAGTGAAGTTTACGTTTCTCGCTTGCATCCAAAGTCCTTCAATAATTTATGTGTGAATGTCCTGGTCTTCTGGATCAACAAATTCAATCACATGCACAATGACAGCGTGAGCATAAATCCCGTTGTTGAGCTGAGCGACATTTTGATATCCTCGCCAAGCGTCCATGACGATAGCTGTCCCTGGTAACACATGATTAGTGATAATGCGCTCGAGTGTTTGTGCATCTCAGCGGCCGACAACCTCCATCCAACATCGTCCACTGCCGCAAACATGAATTTCAAAACAGAATGATGCCCAAGACTTTTAAGTAAGGAGTAATAATTGGAAATAATTTGGGACAGGATTTCGGAGGATTGCCCAATTCTACTTCCTTTTGTAGTAATTTTAAGTAATTTAATTAATTAGCTACTAATTTGTATTTAGTTAGTGCGAGTACTCCTAGTAGGATTACTGCCTAGTACTATTACTCACTACCATTGCAGCCTACTCAGCTGTCACTTAGAAAAATAGAACTATTGAAAGAATAAATTAAAAACTTATGTTTTAGAAAATGAAAATCTCTTGAGCCACATCATTGACTCCATTGAGATTTTGTCTAAATTTTTTAAACTTTAAATATCATCACTTTTTTGTTTTGTATTGTGTGATGAAGAAGGCATCAAGCTGTTGCCAAAACGACAGTTTAATTGTCCTGTCTTTTCTTTTTAAGTCTAAACATACCTTGCTCTGCTATTTATTTAGATTTAGATGTTTCTTACTAGTCAAGTTTAATACTGTATGTAGTTGTAGTGGAGTAGATTTAGGCATAGGTCCTAGTCCTCTTAGTGCAGTGTTTCCCAAACTTTTAAGTTTCACGGACTGGTGCACAAGTTTCGAAACTGCACCAGGGACCGTTGCCAGATTTAATAATTACATTTTCTTTCTATTTATACATCAATATTCATGCTCTCTGGACCTGTAACGTAAGGCTCATGGACCGGTGCCGGTCCACAGACCACCATTTGGAGAACGCTGCTCTTGTGAATGGAGTTGGACTAATCAGGATGATAATGCCTACATCATAGAAGACAGAAGTAGGCTAATTATAGTCAGGATAGTGCCCCTAGTCATTGGGCCAATGAAGAATTTGTAAAAGGGGATGTCACAAATTAATGATGATATTGATATCTGAGGAGGGTGAAGATTATAAAGTAACTAAAGCAAGTGACACTTGGACCCTAACAAACACAGAAGAAAACATATTAAAAACATTGTATTGAAAAGTTCTCAGGAAAATATATGACTCAACAAAGGAGGAATATGGATGGAGAATATGAACCAATCAGGAATGGTATAGACTATATCAGAATCCCATGCTAGTACTAGAAATTAAAAAAAGGGCAGGGTACACTTGGTGGGACATTTAGAAAGAATGCTAAATGACCGAGGAGTGAAGAGTGTGCACCACCAAAATCCTAGAGGAAAACTGCTCACTGGCAGACATATGCTTAAATGGATAGACATGTAGAAAAAGATCTACAGCAAATGGGAATCCTAACATAAAAAAGATAAGCATCAGATCTGAGTGGAAGGAAGTGGTGAGGCAGGCCAAAGCCTTACATGTAGCACCACAGGGATGGATGGAAGATTATGAAATATGAGTGGTTTATGTTATTAAAAATTACTAGACTATAAATAGCTCATAATTTCATTTGGCATTAAATGTTTAATTAATGTTTAAAGGTGGACCTTTGTGAACACTAAAATAAAAATCTCACAAAAACACAAAAGAGTTCTCTTTACGATTCTATATAGATTATGAATAGAACCTAAAAGCATTGCACTAAGTGACTAGGTACATCTTGAAATAATTCTATGATAATTCCAATATTATTTGAAATCTCAGATAAGATTTCGTATTCTTATCGTAATTTTTAATTTTGTTTCTGCAGCATGATGAGTTTAGAACTGCTCATAGGTATGAGGGCTACTTAGCAAAAAGGTATGATATCTCTGTAGGCCAATTGTTTTTTTAGTGTAATTCTATATATTTATAAATCCTAGCAGTTCTTTTGTGGAATAAAACTTAAAACAATGCATGTTATTTAATCATCGTTGTAGTGAAAAATTTTGTTTCTGATATATGCAACTCTCATTTACTTTTAATAAAAAATTTTTTTTTAGAACTCAGCCCCCACCTAGACTACCACCAGGTGTTTCTGATAAACTGTCTAACAACTATTACTACACAAGAGATGGGCGTCGTGAAGTTCAGCCACCTAACAATATTTATGATGCAACTCAAAAGCAGTTAGCAACAGGGTATGTTCAGTGATGTTCAATTTCCACTAATAAAATCCTATATGATAAAGTTGAACCTTATCCATTTCATCCATCCATTGTCAATAGGGCTTGTCATTTAATGGCGGAAATCTATTAATAGAACTGATGTCATTATTACTCATCATCCGGGTACTCAGCGCGGACAAAATGTCAACACTGTTCAGTATTACTATGTTAGCGAAGTGTCCTTGAAATTTGTTTACAACTCTATTTTACGAAATATTTTACATATTTTTTTTTACTTCTATTTTCTGAAATGCGACTTCATTGCTTGAACGGCAAATGTAACAGTAACTCGAGATACAAGGATCGTCCGAACGATATGCTGAAACACACTATAAGCTGCCATGTTTTAAGCAATATTTGTCCGCTGACCTTCTAAAAATAGTACCCTATGACGTTTTCCGGTCTAAGAAATGACAAAGCCTATTGCTAAAGTAACAAAATTCCAATAGGAATTAAACTGATCTTAAATTTTTCACCAGAGTGTTTATGAATGCTGGTGTTGCCCTTAATAGTTAGTAATCTACATAAAAAGCTAATAAAATAACAGGGTCAAGGGAGCAACTATTGCCTTCAACACCAACTGTTATCTGATTCCCACATAATATGACAATGCAGTTATTAGTGCTTTTTTAATAATAATTCATGAGCAAGTTATTTGATTGTTTGGGGTTTGAATTTATAAAATAATTCAGGAATTATTCTTCAAATTTTAAACATTACGACATGTCTTTAATTTACTGGCAGATACTTTTATTTAATTTATTTCCAGAAATAGGATTTGGATAAGACAAGTATCTTATTTCTAGAGTTTAATGTCTGATATCCAATATCTTTGAACTTTATGTTTCAGAGCTGCTCTCCCTTCTGTTTCAAAGCCAGTTGTCCCAGGAATACCTTTCAACTGGAAAACTGGACAATTTGATCAGCTCACAAAATAAGGACTTATTTAATGATTTATTTTTTTTCTTCTTTTTATTTCTGTTGGGTAAAGAAAACAAAGTATGTCAGATAGAAAAATGTTTAACTTTTAGAAACGTTAGCTTGTAAATAGTGATTTATTTTAAAAAAAATTATGTGTTGTGTCAGGCAAGATTAAATAAATTAAAATGAAACACAAATTTAAAAAGATTTTCTTTTTATATTGATTTTATTAAGTAAAATGAATTCTAATTATTAATAAATAATTCAACTGGTATTATTTAATTTGAGAACATTAAAATTGTAAGAATAAGTCTGTGCATATTATCATTTTGCTAATACCATATGGGTTATCTATTAATTATCTAACGTGTAATGTGCCATAACAAAATTACTCTGTTTGGGAAACAGCTACAAACATTACCATATTAACATTTCAACTTTGAGCCAATAAATATAGTTACTGAGTCTATTTTATCTGGGTTATTTTTGTGATCCAGAACAGGAATCACTTTTATGAGAAAAATTTAAAGTACAATCAAAATACATAATTCTCCATGTAACAATGTAACTATCAGATGGTGCTGATTTCACTAAATAAAATTCCCTGTAACTGCACTGGATGCTTAAAAATATCACAAGTGCGTTTGGTGAGTAATATTTTTTTTTAGGAATCTGCAGTGTTAAAGGGGTTGGGACATTAGAATATTAATACAGTGCAGTAGCGTAATTAGCTCTAACGGAATATTATAAATGTGTTACTTGAATGCATGTTTTGTCAAGTAACTTCAGTTGATGGGAAGTTGAACCACTGCGGCCGCCAAAAGCTAGTTTCTAAATATTTCAGGGAGAAATCAATTTCATGCAGCTTTCAAATTAAAATACCAGCTCAGTGCATGGACCACAATCTTAAGGGATTAACAGCATGTAACAAGAATATTTTTTGTATGGGGCTGACACATCACCTTACACACTCACTGTTAGTAATTTAAAAAATAGAAAGCTGCCAAGATAAAAGTAGTCACACCAAATGCTCCTAATTAATCAAGCTTTATTTATATCATTAAGAGAGTTGGTTTTTTTTTTATAATTATAACTCAATTTTACATTCAAATTCAATATCAAAATTGTAGATTTCTGAAGTAAAAATATTTTGTAATTACCTGGTACAAGAACTATAAAGATGATCATAATCTCAACACATATATTTTTTTTATGTTGTTAATTTATTTTTTATTACAGAAGGTCAGTGCTGTTTAATAAAGTAAATATTTATTTTAAAATTCATTTTTCTAATCTTATAACATAAATCTACACAATTTAAATGATCATATGACAACAAATTATTAATCTCATAATTTATCATTTTAAGTATCATAAATTGTAAGCACTGTAACCCTATAGACATTTTTATAATAAATAATTACTCCTCAATTAATTGTACATGAATAAATCGTCTCAGGTTAAAAAAAAAGGGGGGCGAAAGCATTAGTTTAAAAACAGCCAACTAAAACTCATTTATTTTTTTCATGGAAAAGTTTATCTGTATGATGAAAATGAATATTTTCAATGTAACCAAAACATTTTTCCATATATTTGGATCATTAACAAATCTTATCTTATAATATAGGTTTTAATTTAAGTACGGTATCCGAAGGTCATTGGGGAAAAAAAAAGTCCTTTAAACACCTAAAGATGACCGTGACCCGATTTTGGACTTAATACCATTGCATTTGTGGAAGTCAAAGCCATTGTATTCTATAGGCGGTCTAGTGTTCTTTTTTTGTTTGCACTTCTCCTCATCCGGCTATCAAACGTCTGCTTGACAGTTACTAAGGATCAGAAGCCTGGCAGTTAGAGGTGTTTTCTGCAGACAAGCTTACATAGATATTTATTCTGCACTATATTACCCGGTATATAATTTTACAAAGTTTCCTTCAGTCTATATACAAATACAATGGACCGATATGTTTTCAAACAAGGGATAATAAAGCTGATCTTTATAAAAAAAAAAAAAACATCTTCCCAAATTTTTCATGCCAATAGGATTTTTCCATTTTGTTTTAAATGAGGCGTTTAAAAACTCAAAATAGATTACTATAAATATTATTCACATATACAACTTAGAAGTTTGTAGATTAGTTTTAAAATTATTCAGGACTACACTCAAATCAGTCAATGACAGGTGCTTAGATATAGGCCGTTCTCAAACAGACAAGAACAGTTTTTAACTATTCAGTATCAAGATTCAAACTCGCACCTACTTACGCCTGCATGCACATGCTGAATCAATGCCAGAAAATTATTCTTAATTTCTTATGATTAATTCTACATATTGATCATACAACAAACATGTTTCAATTATGGAAGTACAGGAGCTGAAATAAATAAGTTATTTGGTCATGAAAAAAAGGCAAACAATAGTTTTGAATAACAAGATATTCCTAATATCACTGGCTTTTATTTAAGATAGTCGGCTTCATCAAGTTTCTTGTCCCCTTCTGCCTCCTCATCCGGATGATCCCCTGACCCCTCCATGGTCTCCGGCAGCTGACTGGCTAATGAAGATTTGATTACTTCCCTTAAAGCTTTTTCCTGAAAAAAAATGACATTTAAATAGTGGTCCGTTTAATTTTTTTTACTTAAAAGGAATGGATATTTGTATTCGGAATGACTTTGTAACTGATTTAATCAAACCTATTTTAAGAGACATCTGAAAAATTCTTTAAATGAACTACTGCCTTGTAAGTTCTGTTATGTCATAGCTTGTGCGGTCTTACCTGGTTATCTGGTGGCATTGGCATGCACTTTAATTGATAGACTGTCACCTGGCCCTCACTGTCTCCCACCAGTAAACACTAAAGTGCAAATTTTAAAAAATATGAGTACTCAAAAATGTGTATGATATTTTTTCTAACAAGGAAACTAAATTTTTTTTCCTTAAATTTGATGAAATTAAACTTTCTTAAATCCAAGCAGAGATGTACCTGAGAATTCTTGCTGAATGAGACAGTTGTCTGTTTTGCCCCTGAAGGGGGAGCAATGGAATACACAGGATCCAACCTTTAAAAAAACAAAATCATTTGTTACAAATTTTGCTATAACAATTAAGTCCAAATATTTTTAAAACATTTTCTTAGAAACAAAACTAAAACAAAATGTGATGAATGGTAAAATTGTAACACTCACGTGCTCTGCGCTAAGTCCCACACCTCAACTGCTGCCTCATTGACACTTGCAAACACTGTGGATGACCAGGGTGACCAGCAGATATCATTAACAGCCTTCTGCAAATTGTAAATATTTTCAGGTTAGCTCACTTTTATTTAAGCATCTGGTATTTTTTTATAAATAATGTTTAAAATAAGTAGACCTAAAAAAAAAAAATCGGCCAGCACTCACAGTGTTAGAGTGAAACGAAAGAATGTGTTTCGGTTTATCCTGGTGCCAGAGTTTGATTGTCCAGTCAGCACTGCATGTTAAGAAAAGCTCCGTAACAAATGGTGACCATTGAATGGCATAAACTGGTGCCTGAAAGAAAGAAAGTATTTTACATAAGAAGGAAGAAAAAAATAAAAGCAATTTTCTTTGTCATTGATTATCAGTATCAGTAAAAAAAATTTTAACAAATCTTTTTAAATAATTTATTTCATTAAATAATGTTTTAAGAAATCACCTTGGGTCAAAATGTGAACTCCAAATAATGATTTGGAACAAAGGTTTTAATATTATTTTTTTTTTTTTGTTTTTTTTTCTCACTTTCTTAGTTCAAAGAAGTCAATATTCTGAATTTTAAACTCAGGTTTTTATTCTAATTTAAAAATATGTACTTTTAAACTTATTTCTAAGGACAGTTCATTGTTACATGATACTAATGTCTGTTTTTGATAATCCATCCCATATAATCTATGAATTAGCTACTTTAAACCTCTTACTGTATGGCCTTGATAGCTTTCTAGGTACTGTTCATTGTGAGAACAAGAACACTTATGAATGTAGCCCTCCTCTGTACCAGCTAAATATCTGGAACACAATACATCCAACTGATATAGAAATGTACCAAATGTAACAAGGGACATGCTTTATAACTAGCCTGGCTCCATATAGATGAACATTTATTGAAAAAGTATGATTGCATGTTCAACTTTAAAACTGTAATGATGATGTGTAATGAAAGTTAAAGTAACTTCACCATCTTAATGGCATAGCAGACCCCATGCAAAACCATTCCTAAAATACTACTAACAGGAATCAAAATGTAAACGGTAGATAAAACATGCATTCGTTGGTACCTCAAACAAAACGGTTTTGAAAACATTTTAAACAGATGTACAACAAAGATTAAACAAAGACGTTTGCTCCATTTAAGTTTTACAATTGTGAAAGATGCTGTGCTAATACAGTTCATGGTTCCATAGTTATCAATATGATGAACTGGTTAACTGCTCTTACGGGGATAGTCTCGGCTGCACTTCTCACAAGAGAACCTTAACTCCTGGTTAAATTTGACCTTCCATAATGCCATTTTACTTGCCATGGCTTCATTTCATACATCTTCTCACTTCTTGACTCCTTCATACTCTGCTGTTTGCTAGCTGGAACGGTGCTTAGCCATGATCTTCCACTCATTGATTTCTATGTTGGCCTCCCTCATGTTCCTTTGCAAACGTCCTTAAATCTCAGCCACGGCCATCCAATAAATAATATGCCTCCCCTCCTGCCAATTCTCCATACAGAAGATCTTTTGGAATTCAGGCTTCCTCAATTCTTCTTACATGACTTAACCAGAGAAGGCGGCTCTTGCTAAGAGTATAGAAATGCTATCATTTTTATTTTGGCACTGTTAAATAGTCTCTTGAACCAACACAACTAAATTGAATTCAAAAAATATATCAATATCACCTACCATGAAAAATTGTAAAGTTTCAACACATAACTGACTGTCATTTGGTAAAAAATACAGACAAAATTTCAAGGTGTGACAATACCATGAATTCTTTATTAAAGATGATTTTAAGCTGAGTTGCACCAATGATTGTTTGGATGTGATTTGTTGTCATTATCTAACACTCAGCTTAAACCCACCTACCTAACCCCTGGCAGTGTTGTACATTGTTTAAAGGTAAAAACAAATGTCAAGTTCTTGAAATTATTTTTTCTGTAAAATTTTGGGGTCATCTTCCAATTTTTCTTCCAGAACCAAGTTATTTGTGATATAAATTGGTCACATGTGCACATATTGTTTAGTTGTTTATTGACAGCAAGTCTTAACATAGATTGATAACCTTGAAAAAAACTTAAAATGTGTTTATTAATATTATTATTAAATGTTCTCAAACATGTGATTAAAGATTAGTTTTAGGGAGAGGTGGCAGCAAAACTGTCAATGACATCATTTGATGCACCTTCATAGGATAACCATGTTTCCATCTGTTGAAGATGATGAACCATCTCTTATTAGGACTTTAAAAAAAAAACTGCATGGTTTTCTTGTATTCCTGCCATTACATAGTTGTTTTTTTTTAAATAGGTAAAAGTGCAATATCTGAAGGTGCAGAGGCTAACCTTCTCATATGTGTAATGGTGGAAACTTGAAGTCCCTTTAACTCTCTCCAAATATTCCATGAAAAATTGTTTCTATCCATCCATCCCTGTGGCACTGCAGCCCATATAGGGCTTTCGCCAGCTTCACCATTTCCTTCCACTCAGACCTAAGTGTGATGCTTATCTTTTTTATGTGAGGATTTCCAGCTGCTGTAGATCTTTTTCCACATGTCTATCCAACTAAGCTTAGGTCTGCCTTCAAGCAGTTTTCCACTGGGGTTTTGGTGGTGCACCCTATTCACTCCTTGGTCATTTGGCATTCTTTCCAAATGTCCAGCACAGCCTGCCTTTTTGTATTTATTTTGGGCTCCTGGTATAGCCACCAGAATTCCTGGTTAGTTCATACTCTCAATCCATATTCATCTTTTGTTGATCCATAAATTTTCCGGAGTATTTTTCTATCCCCTGTATTTAATAGGTTTTCTCCTGTTTTTTTTAGGATCCAAGTTTCACTTGCATAATGGTCTGATTACAGTTTTATATAAAGTTTTTCTTATAATGTTTTTACTTTTGCGTATTTTGTGCCTCCTGAAGTTTGCTCCGTTTCCAGTAGGGATTCTTTCTTTTATTTCTGTTCATCATTTCTTTCTTTTATTGAGGATCCTAGATATTTGAATTGTTTTAATTTTTCAAGTGTGATTTCTAATAATGGTTTCATCTGCCTGCTCTTCTCTTAACATAGTCATGTATTTTGTTTTTGGGCTGTTAACTTCCAGCCCTGCTTGCAGTGATGCGTCTTCTAATTCACTAAAGGATTTTGATATATCTTTACTACTTTTCCCTAACAGGGCTATGTCATCAACTTATGCAAGATACTTAAGGGGTTGGTTGTAGAGAGTGCTTATAGGTTGTGGGTCTTAATTTTCCTCACATAGCATCCTGTGATTTTTTCCACTGGTGTCAATATGTATACTTCTTAGAAGTCTCTCTAATGTTAGGTTAAATAGCATTCAAGACAGAGCGTCTCCTTGTCTTAAACCTCATCTAATCTCAAATTCCCTTGAATATTCTCCCTGAAACTTGATTTTGCTTTTTGAGTTGTTTAATATTACTAATTACATCTATCAGTCTTGTCAGTTTGTTGGGTATGCAAAACTCCTGCAGAGTGTCATATATATATTTTCTTCTGATGCTGTCATAGGCCATTTTATAGAGCCCACATAGAGTTGGTTCACTGGTGTTAATTTTCTTTAACATTTAGATTATAGGCATCTGATGGTGAAAATCTGATCACTCATTGATCTGTTTTGTCTGACTCCACATTGGACTCACCTAGCAATTGTTCAGTGTAGCATTGAAGTCTCTTGGCGATCAGTTTAGTCAGTATTTTTTATGTTACATTTTGTAGGGAAATTCTCTGTAGTTTGTGCTTTGAAGTTTTGAACCTTTCTTGTGTATTGGGGCTATTAGTGTTGTGTCCCATTATGTTTGAATTCTCTCTTCTTGTGTGTCTGAATGTGCAGTTCTCTTCCTCCTTATTTCATAAGTTCTGCTGTGATGAGATCTTCTCCAGGGACATTTTGGTTCTTCATAGAGTTGATTACTTCTGTAGTTTCTTCTGAAATGGGGGGTTAAAGTGTTTGGTCCGCCATGTGGTGCTTTATAATCTTCATCTTGCCCAATTGTCTGCAATTAATATTCCCTCAAAATATTCAGCCCATCTCCCCAGGACTATACTATTTTCTGTAATTAATTGTCCATCTTAGCTCTCGCACATTCGTGATCTGACTTGGTATCATTTCTTTTTGTCTTTTATCTCCATATGCGTTCCTCTAATATTTTACTCTCTTGAAAAATCTTTCTTTTTTTTTAGTTTAGCTTTTTCCCATTTCCCATTTTTCTTCCTGTACATTTTCATTCCTTTTTCTTCTGGCTTCATCGTCTGGTTTCCTTTTGTATTATGGCCATTCATGCCTTGTTCCTTTCTTTGACAGTCTTTCTGCATTCATTATCAAACCACCCTACTGTACTGTTAGTTTGTTAAAATCTATTTTTTTCTGCTGATCTCTTCAGAGCATCTTTTAACCCAGCCCACTGCTCATTCATATTGTTTTCCCTGTTTATTTCCTCCCTTGATGTTTCCAGTTGTGCTAGTACTTTTTTTGGTAAGCTTTTGTGATTAGTGGGTCTTTGGTTAGTTTTTGGTAATCATATCATTTTTCTCTTTGATTTCTGTCAGTAGATGGTCATTGTATGCATTTTCAATAGCTTCTTATTTCTAATATCTTTGATCTATGCCTCAGATCTAGTGAGTTCCAAGAAACTGTCTATTCAATAGAAATTTTCAGTTCTAGAGACCCTTGCCCTAATGTTTTAGCAAAGAGTTAAGCTTGACAGAGTACAAAATGACGATGTTTTACAGAAATGTACAGAGATGGCTTCTTTTACTTACATGTTTGAATCTAATAAGTGAAAATCAAAGCACAAGCCACCAGCAAATCTTGAGATAAAAGCTTCTCCTTTCTTCTCTCGTGATCGACCAGCCATCCTTGTAGGCATCTTCTTCAATTTCATTACATCTGATAGGATAATAATAACATAGCACTATTGTTGTTATTTCTTAAATAAATTTAAAAATTTCAATGAAGGTATTAAACTGCTTTTTTAAATGCTGATATAAATAAAAGTATTTTTAACTTTAACCTTTTACAATAGTACAATAGATTGCCTTAAAAAATAATTAAAATCAAAGTAAACTGCTTATCTTGAAAATACTTAACATCTTTCATAAATACTTCAACGTTGATTGTAAAATATATCTTTTATTATTCCAATAACATCTGATCAAAACAAACAAGTATTATGAGGGGCATCAAATTAAAAGCCAAAATTAAATTTACTAATTGTAACTCTTTGATTTCTAATATTGTTTTAAGTAGTGTGATATGTGTAACAGACCAAGTTAACCATGATTTTTCACACGACCCCAAATATTCATTCTCACGACACGATGGTGTAGTGATTTAATGAGAATGATGTAAATCATGAGAAAATAGGGATTTATTTATTTTAAGTTTTAGACACTGATTTATTTAACTGTCAAATATTTACTAAGGGTGACAGAAAAGTAGCCCCAATATATAACAGCTTACAGAATTTTCTATAAGGAAATGGTTCTAAAATTATTTGCACTAACCATAGCTCTCAAAGCCCTTTCGTATTGACCACTGTGTGACACGACCATCAGTTGATATTGAAATTAGAACCTCTGTACTGTCCTCTCCTGAGCCTCTTTCTTTCTCAACCCATTTCAACTGCCAGACTGGAGCCAAATGTTTGCCAGATGCTGTGCTGAATTTATTGAAAAGACTTGATTCATATGTTTTTATTCACACTAAGACAATGGTTAACTGATTTTTAAAAACTGTTAATGATTTTAAGGACAATTTTTTATATTTTTAGAATTGCATTGTCATTATGTCTTCAGTGGCTAATTTAATTTTAAATTGTTCAGCCGAACACAGCCTGGAACATGGGCGCCCGCAAGTAGGGGCAAGGGGGCCACTTGCCCCCCCCCCCCCCCCCCCCCCCGGATTGATTGGATAAAAAAATTTAGACAAAAATAGACAAAAAAATTATTAAATTAAAGAGAAAATAAAGAGAAAGTAACTAAGCTGATGTCCTGTCCGTTCGTTCACAGTACAAATACGCTACAGTAAATTAAAACTATATTAAAACATTACTAAAAAATGTTTGCCCCCCCCTGGAAAGTTAATTGATTTTTTTTGCCCCCCCTCCCTTAGAAAGTTTTCTGCGGGCGCCCATGGCCTGGAAGATACAATTTGATTTGTTTACAAATGGCTGCAGGGGACAATCAAGAGGACATAGAGAGACACATATGAAAGGGGCTAAAGTAAATTGGGTACCAGCCTAAAAAATGGTGAAAAAGTTGCAGCAGGAATATTAGGAAATCAACTGTTGCCCAATGTACTTCACAGTGTGGATGGAAATAACCTTTAAACACATTTAATAAAGGGCTTGTCACCATTTTTGTAGCAGTATCTTGGTGATTGCTATGTAATTGTTTTATCTGTTATTGTAATTTATTTTACCATATTACTTACAAATTATCTAGAACTGGCTCATCCACTGATTTCCTTACATTGTAAACAGCAATACCTCCATCATAAAAACCAACCTATTTGACAAAAGTTTGCAGCATATAAATTGCAATAAATTAGCATATTTATTATTTTGATTGTAGCAATAAAAATGGAAATGAAAATAAGAGTTAACATTGTGATTCTTATGTATAAAAAACTTAATAAAAAATTATAACAGTTTCTAAAATTAATTCAGCAAAAATTTATAATAGATGAAAATCATCCTGTTTCAATATCCATTTGCATGCTGATGTCATGCACATACAAAATAAGAAATATATTTTGCTTATCAGTAATTAGCAGTGGAACTAATATTTCAGTATAATTGCACCAAAGATGGAAGAATACTGAAAATTAATAGCGTTTTTATATATAATGGAGTTCAGATCAAAACCACATGTAGTGAATTACCTTCTGTACCAAACTTTTTGCATGGCACTTCTAATCCCCCTTCCCACTGGAGTTAAGGACAATTTGTTTCGCTAACCATCACAAAAAGCAATTGTTTTTAAAACCATTGATAGATATTTAGCATTATTAGTATTAGTAGCATTTTAAAAAATCATTCTTTGAAATTAAATAATTATAAGGTTTAAAGTTAGATAAAATAAAGATTCAAATATGATACCACAAAAATATATTTAATTTGTGTACCGCTAACAAGTTTGGATTGGCTGTTGAGAAGTCAAGAGAAGTCACTCCCTCCTTTGATGAGAAAACTCTCTCAGGATACTATTATTTGATAAATACAATGAAAAAATAAGATGTTTCATGCTTATTTTTAAAAATTAACTTTTACTAAAATAATATATGCTTTTTGAAAGTGTGTAACTTGCAATTTAGAAAAGTCGTATGCATGCTAATCTAATAAACATTTTCCCCTATCAAATTCTTAAAATGAACTGAGAATTTTTTATGGCTACAATATTGTGAGGTCCTATGGCTCATACTAAATAAATCTTGTACTAATCTCACATTGTAAAGTGAAGAATCTCTTTTTAAAGTTTTTGGTCTTACACCAGCTCTAATCATTCAGGGTTGGTTTTCTTAAAATAAATTGAACTCCCTTTAGTTGTTTTTGAAACACTACAATATATGAAAAAAATATCTCTTTGTCAAGCATTATTAGAAATAGTCAAATAACAGAAATGTCCTAAATCCACAGATACTAGCAACAAATAATTATATAGCAAATAATTTTATCAGCAAAAATAATTTGGCAACACTTGATCAATCCTTTCAATCAAACAAAAGTTTACCTCCGGATTTTTCAAACACCAGCAACAAACCAGACCAGGCTTTTGGGCTGTGAATTCATATTGGCCATAGCCAATGGCAATAAGATCCTGAATCAAAAGAATTAAAATATATATGCTGATACAAAGACATTATATACATGGTAAATAGATTGGATGCCATATTTAGATTTTAAAACATCAACCATGATGAAAATATACATTTAAAAATCCATAATATCTCACCGGATTTGATTTATTCCATGCCATACAACTGACATTTTTTCCTCGAGTCAAGATACAAGCATAAGACCATAAACGATCAAGGTTTGGTCCCATATCTTGAGCTAATGATGCCAGAGTCGAGTGTGACTCTAAAAAAATATACATAGGTCAAATGAAACAAATTACTTCTCAACAAGTGCATTATAAATAAAAAATATAATTCCCATATATTAAAGTAATTTCATTAAAGAATATAGACAAATTAATAATCGCACATTTGTTTAATATTTATAATTCAGAAATTTTAAAAACAAACTGACATATATGTAACAGAGATTGTAATATATATTAAACAGTTTAATTCTAGTATTGATAAAAGCCATTTATCATGGTGCTCATGGCAACCCAGTATCATATATTACACAGCAGCCTATAAAATGCACACTCTTTTTTATTTACATTTTAATAAAGGAAAAAATTTCTACTTCATCAGAACATAAGACGCTCCACATATTTAGGTATATTTTGAGGGGGAAAAGGGTATAGAATATACAAATATTCCCAATTAACATCTAGCTAGAATTTTAAGTAACCATCAAAACAATTGTTTTTCAAATGAAAACACCAAAAGACAAATAGTAGAAATTTTAAGATAGACAAATCAATACCAAATGTCCCTGAAGTATAATCAACACAATTATCCCAAAATAACGTTTTGAACTTTAACATCAAAATAAATTAATCATAAAAACTTTTTTATAACTAAATTATTCTAAATTAACTGACACAATACTGCTCCATTCATGAAAATTCAAATGTCATTAAAAAAAACTCTCTAAAACCATAATTAACATGACATATAACAATAACTTAACACAATCTGTCTTAATGACTAGACCCAGTTGCCCCACCAGTGGTGGCATAAAATGTATTTCCTCTGCTTCTTTTGTTGCCTTCTGCCATTAACATTTCTAGTAGCAGACAGACAAGTAAATTGTAAATACCTTGTTAATTAAACTTGTTAAAATTTCAATACATAATTGTACTTTTTTTGAAACACTTAAAAATTTAGACAAACTTCATACGTCATGCAAAAGTCTTATAATACCTCGACTCAGGACCAAGGAATCGTACACACATTTAAATTTTCCATCACCAAGATTAATCTCTTTACAGTCATGTATTGGATTGTCTTGCCTAACACAAAAAAAGTTGTAATTTTGCTCCATTACATTTGAGACCAAAACAAATTGTTCTCTTTGCTTATTTTTTGGATCAGGAACTGAAAATTAGTATTTTAAGCTGTCACTTTATGAAATTTTAAAATAACCACTAATTTTCACAGTAATTGGGTCAAACAGATAATTAAAGGAATGATTAACCATTCCTTCCCAAAGTGGGTGCAAAATTACAGAAGTAAATTAAATAGTAGAAGTAAATTACCTGAAACTGTTTTGTATCCCCTATACAAGGCTTGTTTTATCTGGTATGTGTTGAGATTAATAACTCTCTCCAACAGAAACAGATGATTATTAAACTTTTCACTCTGAAAGTAAACATTTATTAAATTTCATGTTTTTATCAGTTTCATAAGATTACTGACAATATAAATAATGATCTAGTTTTAATTACTATGTGGAATAAAATAATAATTAATTAAACTTTAAGAGACTTTGCAGTATTAAAATGACAGTATCAAAAACCTTACCAGAACATTTGAATTTTACCAATGAAATTCAAAACGATTAAATTCAAATTTAGAAAATCTAAGACAACAGCAACAAAAACTTCAAATGCACAGGTTCCATTTTTATCAATGTTCTTGTAAGTTGTATGTAGGCTTCCACTTAACAATAGAGAATATTGGAAAGAACCATTCAGGAAAATGATAATTTCTATAAAACAAATAACATCACTAAGGTTTGCTGGCAAGTCTCAGTGGAGCCAAGAAGTGGAGACAAGGAGAATAGTGATGCAATGTAAGGGAGATGAGTTTGTCTCATGAATTTACCTGCATTAGCTCCGCCCACTCAGCAGCTAATTTTTCCTTTTCTGTCAACTCTACAGCAGTCTCAAGACTTGACTGGATCTCAGAGCCCAGGACCGAGGAATTTGTTGCTCTGCTGTCAACTGCAATTTTCAATCAAAATTTACAATTATTATTAGTTTTCCAATTATTTGTCTTATCATCTGTGATCATCTGTGATCATTAAATCTTATTTTTAACAGATCATCCAATATGATTAACATAGTGATTATAAATTAATCATTTTTATATACCGGTATTAGACATTTTAGTAAGGAGATAATTCAACACACCATGTTTCAATCTAATTTTTGTGTGATGTGACTTTGAAAACTATATCACACATCATTTTAAAAATAGACTGAACTTAATATGCCCTATATCATACATACAACATGATAAAAAAATATTATCGGCAAATAGGGACTACCATTATGCATCATAATGCAGCTGACCCCTTAGACACAAATTCAACTTTTAAATTAATTACAAGCACATATAATTTGATCCACAGCTTATAAATTGCCAAAATCCACATTAACAATCTATTACTTGAAAAATCTGATAAAGTCTGACTTTTGATCTTACCTCTGTTGGTTACTTGCTTGGCTGATGATATTCTAGCTGCAAGATTATCTTTATTGTCTACTTCAGGATTTGATGGCTCTGTTGAAATGGAGTCTGTGATTTTAGGACTGGTTGGCCGGCTGATTGTACCTTCTTCTTCTTGAGCTTCCTCTTGGGCTAGAGAGATAATTTATTAATAAGGAGATTATTTTGCCTGTGTGATGCAGACCTGTTTACTTTTACGATTTTGGCGTACAGTGTACGATTTTGAGGTGTATGCATTATATATACTGTATGTTTTATTTTTACTATTAAGATGGTGTATTTAACGATTTTGTGATGATATTGTACGATTTGAAGAGTTTGAGGGTAAACAGGACTGGTGATGCTACAACAAAGTTGAACTTAAAAGCATTATGAAAACAAAATACCTACTTCCTCTAAGATTAAAAAAAGGACATGAAATATTATTAACTTTAGGTCTATTTGTCCTGTAGTGTTTTAACTTAAAGGATAATAATTTTAAGAATAAGACCTACTCTGGTTCTAGGATAATGTACCTAGTAATGTACACTTCAAGCAAAACATTTTGGTTAGTTTTATATGTAAGTATAATAACTACATAAGTGAAACACAAATAAGTATAATAAGCCTTTCAAAAAACACAACAGTAAATAGAAAAATACTCTCAACATCTCCAACTAAAGAGGGAAGGGAGAGATTTAAAAAATTAGCATATAATTGTGGTAAGAAACATGTTTGATATGAGATATGGGGTTGCAATATTAACTTTAAGACTTCAAAACCATTAGTCTAGCATGTCTCTTGGTACACAAAAACTTCCTGTAAATTTAAATCAGAATAAGTCCAGAATCAATTCAGCTCAAATTATATTTGAAAAAAAACAAAACTTTGTTGTAATATTCAAATGTATAATTTTTTATGAAAAACATTAATTCAAAGGCACATTATAATTTAATACCCTTAATGATATCATCATTGTTATCCTCAGAATTATCACTCCTGTTTTCAATGCTGGCTTCTACCCCATCATCCTCAGTTTTTGCTTATGAAAGTAAGTCATAATATGTAGTACTAAAAAAGAACTGTCAATGTCAATGGTTAGATAAAAGTAAAATCTTTTATCAGTGACTGAGTTTATGCATCAAAAGAGGACACACTTCAGAAAGGAAATGGTAATGTTCGATCCATACAACTAAATAAATAATTTTTTTCAGCAAAAATATTAACTAAGTAGTTGAAAAATATGCAATTTGATACTACAAGAATCATCACCTAGAGGATTTTTTGTATAACTTAATTATGGAATTATAATTATAAGGAAAAATAGAAATTTTATACTTAGCGTGAAGGTAGACTATGAAACATTGTGAAACATTAGAAACATTTTATAAAATGTGTGTCAGGCAGAGTATCAAGAATTAGTTCTAGGAAGTATGACAATAATTTTAAGCTTTTTATATATTCAATTGTAATAAACAATAGAAATATTTTTTTAAAGTAAAGAGAGGGGCACCATGGAACTAGTCTATTGAATTGGAATTGACAATATAAATAGATTAAATTCTTTTAAAATAATATTCCCTTGACAAATAACACAATATTTTCCTCATAGAATCACAGTGTTCTTGGATTTCATTTAAGATAATGGGAAATTTTGCCTGTAACAAAATCTACAATGAAAATAAAACTACCAAACAAAATACATACCACACTAGATGTGTAAAAAAAAAATAATAATACCAAGCTGTTATTTAGCCTCTAACTGTATATAACCAAGAGAAATTATTTAAATTGTAATTATGCCTAACAAACTATTTTTAACAAAGTTATGAATTTTTAAATTTAAGTTATCCCTAAGTAAATGTATATTAAGATGAGTTTCCATTGCAAAAATGTGCATATATAAACAGAATAAAATTATAACATATTTAATAATTTCAGGATTATTTATGTACATGAGTGATCCAATGGTAGAATTCTCAACTGCCTCATGTATGACACAGGTAAATTCCCATCCCATGAAACATGTTTTTAAAACAAATTCCATTCTTAACAGTGGTTAAATAAAATACTAGGGCTTAACCGGGGGGGGGGGGGAGGGGGGACAAAAGTTTTTTCAACCAGGTTCGGGTATTTTTTAGAAAAAACCAGGTGGGAATAAAATACTAGGGCTTAACCGGGGGGGGGGGAGGTGGGACAACAGTTTTTTACACCAGGTTCTGGTATTTTTTAGAAAATACCAGGTGGGTCATAGTGTTACACATTTAACTTTTCATTTTCTATAATATATGCCGGCCTTTTAAGCAATAGGCCTACAGACAGTCCTACCCCTTCCTGCCAGCGTTTAAACAATAGGCCTAGAGACAATCCTAAAGACAGTCTGTGCTACAGACAGTCCTACACCATACCTGTGGCTCTTTATTGATTAATATAATAGTCACATCCGAAAAAATTCAATCTTTTTACCTGAGTTCAACTTAGATTTAAAAAAGCTGTCATGACGCTATCTACTTGACAGCTTTTTTTTTTCCACTCAGTACTATTAATATATAAAACATGTTCAATAGGGGGAAGGCTGGTTTTGAAAAGGAACCAGCCACACTAGAAGCAAAATATATATAAGAAGAGATAATCATATTTTGAGTTGTTAAATAAAAATTAAAAAGAAATTCTTTTATTCTGACAACTGTAAGCCAGATTTCAATTGTACAGCCTTATACTTTATTCCCAGGCATACTATATCAAATGCAAGAAACCCTAATCACAATGGCATTTTGAGTGAAATCAAAGAATTGCAAAATCAATGACATATAATTTTGGAGTTCAGCACCAAAGCCTTTAATGAACAAACTATGGTTATTAGCCTGCTTAGCAAAATATGCTGCCATTTAGTATATAATATGTCATCAAACATTTTGATCTTTTCTTTTACACCAATTACTTCTGGTCACAATTAATCTGATTATTTAACTTTTATTGAATAATGAAAAAAATTGGCAGATTTATATACTCCAAAAAACTAACTATTTCCATATTTTTGTATAGATTACTACTAGTTTTAAAAAAAATATTAAAGCATTTGGATTTATAGACAACTTACACATGCAAAAATATGTTGAGTGAAATGTACAATGGTTAGGATTCGTAAAGCAAAACGGCACAAGTATTTCATTTTTCAGAAGCATGGAGTATTTTTTAGGATTACCTTTCTTTTCCTTTTCAATGGCATCATAAGTGTCAAACATGTCCCAGTGTGTACATTCAACCCCTACGGCCTATATATGAAAAAGCAAAACAATTCAATTTTATCTTTATTCCACCATTATCTGTACATTTATACTATGTTTCCACTAATTTTAACATTTTGTTGAATTTTTTATTTAATTTCTCAAATTCTACTTTAGTTAACCTTAAACAAAATAAATTTTGGTTACACTTGTTGCATGCAAAAAATATAGTGTTAACTTACAGATTTGATTTACATCACTTTTATTAATTTGTTTTCAATTATTATTAATGTTATAAAATTTGAGATAAAACTACCATGAATTTATTTTAGAGAATGAAAAAGTTATCAAAATATTAATGGAATAACCTAATTAATATTACTTAGAGCAGAAATCCTTGTAATTGTTTGCATTCAAATCCTGCAATTAAGTGTCTCATTACTAAAAAAGTATCATTGTGTAAAAATTATCAATGTTCCAGCTACACTTCTATGGGCTAATTTTTTTTAACTGTCCATAAGGGTTTATCTCAGTCACTGATAAATTAAGGGCAACATGTGGTAGCCACCTCTGAGTCAGAAGATGTTGGCTTCAACTTACAATGAGGTCAATTTTGGCTGTCTGCACACTTTTTAATTTGTGTGGTTCATTGAAAGTGATCATTCCTCTCTCCACATATAAATCATTCCCAACTCGGCTTTTCAGGAGCTGAAATAAATATAACAAGTGTAAAACACACATTTTTGTCAATTAGTTACACAATGAAAGCAAAAGATCATAACAAGGTATGAAATAAAATTAAAATTAAAACAGATTGTAATAACTTTTCACATATTAAGGAATGGCAAACAATGAGATATTATGGATTAATTATTTTTCATTAAATAAATGCTTCTTTAAATATGTTTTTGAAACTACTTTTCAAGGTTATTATACTTGCAAAATTAAAGATTACTTTATCTATTTTGTATTCATAATCATGTGGTGTTAATATATTTACCTCTGCATAAGTCTTGTTCCTTTTATCCAACAAAACCACTTCTTCGCTCTCTTGGGAAACTTTAACATCAGGCATATCAAACATCCAAATAGTTTCTGTCTCTGTCAAAGTTATGTCCACAATTTTTTCTAAGTCTTCTTCCGTAGGTACTTCTTGTACCTCTTGGCGTTTATGACGAACCTCTGGAAGAAATTGAAAAGAATAAGCATTACAAAATAAAAACTATTTGTCAACACTTTTCTGACTGTGGCTGTACCTGGCAATATGTTTACACATTTCCAGGTCAGGGTATGTAGCTTTCAGTCAATTAGATTAGATTTATAAGTTAGAAAAGGTATAATGGGCATTTGAATAAAATACTATAACAATTGAATTCAAATATAGGGCCTACTACAAAATATACCATCAATTTTGGTAATAGCAACCTTGAAGATATCAATCCTATTGCCAGAGCCGTTGTGTGGGTCCTGCATCTCTAGAAGCCTCTTATATATAATGGGTCCAAAGATGTGCTTTGAAAAAATTGAAGCTATCAACTATGAATTTAGGAGGCATAAAACGGAAAAGAGGCTGAGGATTCCCAAAAGTCATGCAACGGCCATGCAATTTATAAATATATCTATCCACTTGCCTTACCAGCAAAAGTTGTGAGGTCAGCAGGACCTGATTCATCTGGTGGTATGGAGTCAGAACCTGCTTCATATGACTGTGTAAAAACAGACCTGGTAGTGGATAATTTAGAATTGATTGACAGTTACGGCATAGCAATTTTATATTTTAATACAAATCCAGAGTATGTTTGCATCTACAACATAGCCTCTGTTATCTCTTTACTAGAACAACATAATCCAAGGCTTGAATGATAACAAAATTGTGAGATATTTCTAGTAGAAAATGTATGGTAAAATTTGTAGTTTTTTTATACTATTCCATTATTATAAAACGCTACCAATATCTAATGATCATTACACAATTTTATATAAAGTTTTAGTCAAAAGAATATTACTTTAAAAGAAGGATGTCTCTAAAATCTCTCTATCTATTTATGGAAAATTATGGAGACCGACAAGAGTAAAAAATGGCAGCAAACCTAGGTTAAAAAGTATGATGTACGGTAAAGCTAAACAAAACAAATGTATCGCAGAAAAGACAGCCTAAATGGATTGTCTATTATACGTTATGTAAATTTATTGAGGCATAGGTGTCATCATAAAGGTTTAAAAAATTCTTTCAAAGATATCACCTTCGATCAACCTCTTCTGAAAAATGTTTTTATCTTAAACTTATAAAAAAATTTCATTTGCCAAAAGTTAAATAATAATTTTGGTATGTAATTTTTTTTAAAGCTATGTGAATCAGTAATATATCAGCAAACTTACACATTATACTGAATTTCTCATCTTTTTTTTAAAACACTAACTTCTAGTTTAATTTCATCCAATTTTAGGCCCAACTTTTTTTATAAATGTTGACATAAATATATTAAGATTCTATTTCTGACAACTTCTTCAAGAGTCTACATCTCTCTCCACATTCATCTTTATGCAAGGTAAAACCCAGTGATAATGTAAAGTATGACTGACTTCTCATTATGTTTCAGATGAACAATCTGCACATCTTTACACTATTGACCTCTACATTTGGCTGCTCTGCTCCTTGCCAACTCAATCTTTTTTTTCCCACTTTCATCCACCTACATTTCTATAAAGTACTATTACCATCTTAGTTAAAACTATTTTCATCTTAGTTATCATTGTCTCTTTTGGTTTAATTTTTTTACTGATATATATGTAAAGGGTTTTTTTTCATCTTGCATATGCTGTACTGTACTGTACCATAATTAGTGTTTTTAAACTGCTTTTCATCTTTTTTGCATCAGTTGTATACACTATGAGTCTTATTAGTAAAGGAAGACAAAACTTACCTTGTAAATGGACCACCACCAAAAACACTTGTTGCAGTAGTGCCAGCCTGAGTTCCTTGTCCTCCATAAAAAGAGGCTGATGTCTGAGACATCAAATCTGTAGGCTGAAACACATGATACAGGAATAATTCACTTGCTACAATTTCATTCCAAACTTCTAAAATAATTCCTCTTGAAATTAAGCAGTGTCCATATCAGAGAAGTGTAACAGCTTTTTTTTCTACTTTCAAAATTATTTTAAAGATATTGATAAGTGTCAATTTTCTTGCAGGCAATCTTCACACCTAAGTCTATATAGGTGTTCCTATAAAATTCCAACTATTAATTCTTTAAAACATTTAAACCTAAATATACTAAATATACTATTTGTATATATATTAATGTGATAATCAACATTTTGATTATGGTTTTATTTACTTATTCCCTTTAAATGATACACCACTTATATTTTGAGTGTTACAAATGACAAAGCAATGCATTGATTACAAAACAAAGTTCTCACAAGATTTTAAATCGCATCCTGACTAAATTTGTATGTACTGATGTATCATTTAGCTTAATTTAAACTATTTGCTTACAGTTCCTACAGAGCTTTCACCTAAGACATTTGCTGGAGGTTTTTTAACTGCTGTAGGATCCAAATGAAGAAGAGGCAAAGGTGTCACATCTACCCCATTTTCATCAAAAATCTATAATGGAAGTAAATAGTCGGCATTAAATATTGATGCATGCGATCTAAATGAAAGAAAATATTCTAAATATATTATCTATGTGGAAGCAAAATAAATTTTTGCCATTGATCAAAACAAATCTTCAATCTGCATTAAGCACCTCTTTTTCAAAATCAAAATATACTTCCAACTTAAATTTAATTTAGATTCATGCAATATGTGTTTTTTGTTGAATGGATGAAGAAATAAAACAAAACATCTTAAATTTTTATTTTGTCTTTAAATTACCATAATGGTTACTGATACTGTTTTATTTACACAAATTGTATCTCATTAATCAACATAAATTAACCCAATCCATTCCTTTCAATTAAAAAAAATCACTGATAGGGTGTTACATAAAATTTAAAATCTTTGTTTAAATGTTTATTATACACACAATTCTAAATTAAGAATGAACATTTACATAGCATTGTTGGAATAATTAAATGCATCTAGCAATCATTTTACTGACTTTAAAACATGTGCATTTAAGGGAATTAGCTAATATATGGCTCTTGTAGTTCATCTTTTGATTCAGAAAAAACATGTGACTCTTATTAGCATGTCATTTCTACATGTTAATGGGTGCTAATAGATCATATCTGCCTTTAGAAAATTTTAAATAATTGTGTAATCTCTGGTACCATTTGTGTTGATTTTTTAATAAAATGTAATAAACCAGGTAGGAAGAATTAGAGAATATATAAGCACTGGCTTTAAAATTCAATTCAAACTTTCTATAGTACTACCAGAATGTGATGCTATTGCTTATGTCATTATTAAAGTATTTAAAATGTTCACCTGCACTGTTGCTTTGGAAACAGTTGGTCCCTTTTCTGTTGTCTGAACTTTTCTTGCAGCTGATGCTGAAGATATAGCAGCACTGCGAGTGCTTGTAAATAACTGATTTCTCATACCAGTCTTGCTGGAGTTTCCTTTTGATGCAGAGGCATTTTTGCTACGATTTGAATCATTTGTCCGACTACTGAAAAAATTTAATGAATAGTAATTGGTTTCTGTATTGCAATAAAAAATTCTTTAAAAGTCACTGATCCCAACCTCACAACTCATTATAACAAGAACTTGTTATTATTGATGTGTACTTCTAAAAGACAACATTGACAGCAAATTATCAATAAACAATTAATTCATTCCAAATTCTTTTTTACTTATTGGAATATGCTTGTATTTTTAAACCCACGACAATGTGTTTTAGTCATCAATGAAAGGGGAGATAACAAGAACATAATTATATTAGCTAAGTTGCAAATATTTGTTAAAGATCTTTAATTTAATACGCTAAAATACCAGATTACCCAAAGCCAGATGGTTACTTTAACTGAAAATATCTATATTGAACTATAGGCTGGCGAATCAATTGTCAACCTTTCTTTATTCTGAATAATATATGAGGGACTGCATTCAAGCCATTGAAAGTAAATATAGAGTTGAACAAGGTATGTTTAGGCTTCAAAATAAAAGACAAGGCAATTAAGCAGGTTTTTGGCTAGATGCTTTCTTCAGGAGAAAATACAACAGATAAATTTAAATTAAAACTACAACTTCTGTTTTTTAAGATCTCTATAAATTATAAAGTCAATGTAACTCAATGTTCATTTTGAAATACACTAAAACTAATAGAATTAATTAAAATTCTCTCTTCAAACTTGAATCTAGTTCTATTTTTCTAATACAATACAGGAAATGCCAAAGAATTTTTTCCCCTCATATTTTATAATCTATTTTAAAATCTTGTAACACATGTTACAAGGCCTAATTTTAGCATTGTCTCCCGATTAAATGTGCTGTGCCACTCTATTTACCCACCCCTCCCTTGATTGATAAAAAAATTGTATGTTTGAATATGTTCTATTTGTTCTAAAGAATGCTATCAGGTGATGCAATTTCAAGAATGGTTCTGATTTAGGCTATCTGCGCTATCTATAGAAGCTGGCAGCTTTCATAGATGAAAGAGATTTTTGCAACTTTTCCTAGACATTTATATGAGATGTTAATATACTTCCAAGATTTTACTCTTAATTTGTGTGTGTTAATTAATATTTTTATCTTTTGAGGATTGTACCTTTTCATTTGCTGTGCTGCACTGTAAGTTAATATAGTTATATTCATATAGTTTTTTGTTTCTGTATATTTGAATTTGTATTTTTTTTTTTTTATTTAATAGTATAATTACTATAATTAAATTGAATATTGTTAGTATCACTAGCTTTGGTATCATTTTCATGTTGTACCTACAGACTACTAGTACTAGTAGTATATTAGTACTAGTTTTCAGTACTTTGTTAAGTCACTTAAGTATTGTTCATTCTCTGAGCCAAATCTTAAAACTTAAAACAAATTAATATTTAGGGTACCGAAGTTAGATATACATAACGTTCACCTAGAACATTTTAATCATCTAGTGGTGGTATGTATTATTAGTATTAGTATTGCATAGGCCAGGAATTGTATGAATAGATATTGAACTCCTTACTCACTTAACTCACTAATCATTGATCATCAGTAATCAGTATCAGACTATCACTGGTCCATCACTAGAATGACTAAGACTAAGTCAAAGTCTCAGATAGTAATTTTCACATTCTAAATTAATCCACCCTAAAGATATAAAAAAAGAAAGAATTAAAGGCTGATCCTTTTGTTTTACCTTGGAGCAGGCATTGGCTTTTTATTTGGTTTCGAACCTGACATCACTTTTAGGTCTATTGTAAAGGAATTTTTTAGAGTAACTCTTTTTACAAAGTTATCTCCTCTGTAGCGTTATAGTTGTCAGTAGAAACGTAGATTTTGTGTCCATTAATTTCATTGGTTAGTTTTTTCTGCAGCGCATTTCTATACGCTTTCTAAATTAAGAATTATTTTCTTATTTTTTTATGAAAATAATAAATTAAAATATATTTCCTACACTGAGACTACATATTTTTAGACAAAATTATGTAAAACAACATGATGGAGTGGAAAGTGTCTTTGGCCAATGAGAGATTTTGTTACACTAATAAGGGCGGACACACTAGAATTAGCTTCCTAGCCTCGTTTTAAAGCTCCATCTTCGGCAAAGATGGCGGAGGTTGTAACAGTTGTGTTGTTGTCTTGAAGAATACTTTTTTTTTTTATTAAGTTGTCTTCAGTTTTGAGTTATTAATTGCACTCATTTATGTTTATTTAATATTTTTCTAATATTTTTGTTCATATTCTTAACTCATAATATATTAGTGTATCTTCAATTTATTCCTTAATTAATTGATTGTTCAACTTTGTCTCGGCGGCGTATTAAATATGAAAAGTGGGTTTGTTTCCGTGACGTTTGTCATATCGAAAATAGGTTATGGGTTAGTTTTACAGGTCTATTGAGGTAGCGCCAGGTTACTGATGTTACATCTATTTTAAGTGGGCTAATATTTTTAGATCAATTGTAGTTTATGCCCAGGCATAGATTTGTATTTGACATAAATAATATACTACGTTATATTATGTTTTTGTAATATATTATAAAATATATATACTATTATTATTAGTATTGACTATATTATATTCTTGTCCAGTATTGAGTAATAGATACTTTGGTCAAAAATGTAAACATTTTTTAAAAATAAACCAATGGCACAGTTGAATAGAGCTAATTTTAAACATAATTATAACACCAAAATCATATTTTTAGCTGTTGTAGTTTAAAAGTTATGAATTTTTAAAGTACGACTTGGTTTGTCATTTTTTAACATAGACTGCATCTCCACATTCTGTGACCTCATTCCACTGATCGCGTCATGCGCAATGACTATATAGTTTATATAAGGCAATGCATTCCCTTATCACTAAAATACTGTTTAGGGTCGACTTATTTTAAACTTTCAACTTTGGCACATGAATAATTAATAAATGCTTTCCCTGACCAATGGTTTAATAGCTTTTGCACACGGCAAACTCTTATGAATGAAACTCTGAGATAGTACTACAACGTAGCCGTTATGCAAGTGGCTGTGAATGGTTGCCAATGACAACGTGTTGCACAGGGAAAATTCTGATCATTTATATTATGGACTCTGCAGGGTTTTTAAAGCTCAAATTAAAACATTTCCAGTTTAAATGTCTTCAAAATGCATTCTGAAACACAAAATATAAAATATTTTGATGTATATAATCCCTGACCAATGGTTTAATAGCTTTTGCACACGGCAAACTCTTATGAATGAAACTCTGAGATAGTACTACAACGTAGCCGTTATGCAAGTGGCTGTGAATGGTTGCCAATGACAACGTGTTGCACAGGGAAAATTCTGATCATTTATATTATGGACTCTGCAGGGTTTTTAAAGCTCAAATTAAAACATTTCCAGTTTAAATGTCTTCAAAATGCATTCTGAAACACAAAATATAAAATATTTTGATGTATATAGTGGTAATAATTAAATATTTCCTAAGTATCGGCAACTTCCGCCATTAAAAAGGGGGCGTGGCCCAAGCCATGTCGAAATTAGGCTGAGCCACCTAATGGTGATATGGGTCACTGTGACAAGTGTAACAAACGTGGGACACGACCTACATCAATGAAACTTGGCACAGATATAGATCAATATCTAATGCTCATACAGATTTAATAAAAAAGGACCTTATCTTATTATTTCACAAAAAATTTTGTATGCGAAGATGCCTTATATATACCAAAGATTTTCAAAATAAAGGTTGATTGAAAAAAGCAAAATAGCTGGCTAGAAATGTAGGCCAAGATGTCTTCCAAATTATAAGGCCGGAAACGGAACTCAAATATATGTGGAAAGAACTAATTTAATAATAAATAGATACACACATCGGAAAATTAAAAACTCGGATTTTTCGGCGCCGACGCCCATTTCCGATAACAAAAAAAATAGTAGTCTCCCTTCTTTCATCGAAGTATCTATGAATAAGCTAAGTGCCTAGTATTGTTACTGTAATAGTATATTACTGTTAGTATTATTATTAGTATAGGTTACATAATTCCTGTTAGCGCCAGTTGTGTATTATCAGTAGGTAGGACAATATTTCAATTCATTTCCATTCCTAAGACCTGGCTCACTAGGCCACTATGTCTATGTAAAAAAAAAATATTTCTATTTACAGGTAGCTCATTCTGATACAAGCAGTCCAGGTAAGTAGTTTGGGCTTGATAAATATAGTTTATATAGGTATGTATGTTCCGTGCGCCACTCATTTTCCACGGTCCACAGCAGCAATCTTGGTAGCCATGACAGCAGATGTGTCATGGCGACCAAGAAGGCGGCAGTATAAAAAAATATTTGGCAAACACATCTGCTAAAATGGGAGGGGATAGAGAATGTGCTATTTTAACTACTTAAAATAGAAACTTAAATAGAATAAAAATTGAGAAATCCTGAAATCTACTACTCTACCTAATCCAAATGCTAAGTCAGTATTCCTGACTCAAGCGAATAATAAGTCGTAAATATATTCCCTCCTAACTTGAGCATAAATTACCCCTAAATTTTGCTCCCCCTAGCTTCCTAACTTAAGCGTAAATGTTCAAACCCAAAAACAATGGACCAATGTCTAAAAATGAACCCTTAAACAATGTGTTTGTGTGCTACAGTTCCACGCGTTACTGTTCTGAGAAAATTGTAAATTTGATTTTTTTAAATTAAGTTATTCTTAAAATATTCAAAATAATAAAAACCCAACTTACAGTTTCATCCAATACATTTTGCACACTTTTTTTGCAGGTTCCACCAAAAATAAAATCCAAAAGTTATTGTCAGAAAAATCAATTGCTAATGTCTATTCAGCTCGCCACTTTGAATTTCTGTGTAGGACTCTCTCCTTTTTTTTATTCTTGGATATCAATACGCCTCTGCAATGTTTTAATTTATTATTTCATTGGGTGGTTAATTCAAATATTTAAAATGAGGCTAAATTTTTCAAGGCATCTTGGAGTGGATATTATTTTTAAGAAAAGAAAAGTTATAATGTAGAAAACTTGATGAATGTTGAATGACATTAAAATCTAGGGTCAATTAACGCTATTCTCTCCACTTTAAGTTTCTGTGTAGGATTCTCCCCCCATGTTTATTCGCGGATCGCTAACTATACTTTTATTGTTTATTATTTATTGAGACAACAATGGGATATTTTTGTTGTGGGCTGTTTAAAAGTAATATTTCATAGTGGGGTTAATTTTATTTCAAAACAAGGCTGTTTTTGCCGGTCTGCCATCTGATCATTTATTTAAATAGTTTTTGGCTTTTCTGACATCTTTTGGATTTATAAAGTGTGTAAAAGTGTATTCAATGAAACTGTAAGTTGGGTTTTCATTATTTTGAATACTATTTTTTTTAAGAATTTTAATTTGTGTACCTATATTTAAATTTAGAAATTTCTTAGTACTGTATGTAACTGTAGCACATGAACATGTGGTTAAGGGTTCATGTTAGGTCTAAGATTTTGAATTGGAAGGTTTTTCTTTTTTTTTTTTTTTTTTTTGTTAAAATTTGTATTTTTTGTTATTTTTTTTTAAGTTTTTTTTTTTAAAAACTTTTGCCTTTTTTCCTGGCTTTCTTTTTTTTTTNGTCCAGGCTGAAGATGTTTCACTTTCACTCACAAGAAGTTGTGTGTGTGTGTGTGTGTTTGGCACCGTTTCGTGATTAGAACCAGAAAAAAAGTTGGGGGGGGGGGGGGGGGGGCTGCAAAAACAAAGGGAAATAAGTGGCTGGGATTGCACAAATTTATCAAACATAATTTAGATTTTAGTATGTTCAGGAAAATCTTCATTAAAATATGGACAATTGTTACTTCAGATACCGACAAGGATTTTGATCCATCAGCTGATATGATGGTGCATGATTATGATGATGAAAGAACTCTTGATGAGGAAGAAGCCATGACAAGTGGAGAAAGCTGTACAGGAGAGTTAGATGATTTACAAAAGGTACCTTCATGGGACTTTTTATTTACTTAGGCTTATTCCGTCATTTTTGACTAAGTGCATCGGCCGATAAAAAACACGGTCCTTTAGCAACTTCCAATCCAATATTTAACCGGAATTGTAGCCACTTCCTTTTATTAATAATTAAATCATCTTCCGGTTCAAGCTGTTTCTTGATAACTTAAAAATAAATACTTTTTAATCAGAGTTTATATCACTGTTTTCTTTAAGCTAAAATGGTTGAAACTATGCCTGGGCCTTCAGTGCAAGAACTAATAGAAATATGTTTGAAAGTGTTTTAGGAGAGGTTGCAAGTGATACTGATGATGATTTTAACATTCCCCATGACGATATCAGTTGAGATTATTCTTCTCGTGAATTTTATACTAGTCTTAGTGATACTGAAGTAGACCTACTGAGGCTACTGTTAGATTTCGAGCCAGGCCCGGAGGTTGGGCAAAGACTGACTGAATTTTAGTCACAGAAGCTACAGATTATAGATCAGAACTAATAAATGTTATAGTTAAACAACCCAAATAAGTTCCTCGGTTCCTTTTTAAATGTTTACTGGTCAATAACTATTTTGCCCGAGATTTTGTACTTGGTTTTAGCAGTGGTCCCAGTTTCTTTTATAAATGACATAAAATTACTAAAATTGCTTTCAGAGGTTTAATTGCAATCAAAACCATAGCAAAGTATACATTTATCTGCAAGATAAATGAATTGGCTAAAACATTTAGATTTGTGTTTTAAGATTGTGATGTTATGAGCACTTGAAAGCAAGACATTTTCTAGATATTTTTATTCTTGAGAACTCCAAGGTCAAGGACACTGAACAAAAATTTTTTACAGGGTGGGCAATATGGCCAACTTTATCCCCATCCATTTACCTTTCTAAAAGTATATACTTATTGGGGTCTTGTATCAATATTTCTATGTCATTTAATGCAATTTCAAATGGCACCCAAAACGCTCTGAAAAGCTCCACACCACAGAATGATGCATGCCACAGTTCATGGGTTAAAGTAAAAATTGTGTCTCATAATATGTATTTGAAATGTATTTCATTAATATCTGGATACATTATCATGATTATGTTTTGTTTGTTGTAACTTAATATATGTATTTTAACCCACTCCTGCCTAGTCCGCATTTGATGTGTAACTTTCCGCATAAACTACAAATGTACTGGTGCTAATTTTTTAAGTGCCATTCAGTCCCTTTGGAGAGCCTTCCTAAACTTATAACTCTTGACACCTAGTAAAGAAAGCAGATGAAAACGTAACAAAGAGCAACCTTCTCAAAAGAATAGCGGTAAACTTATCAGTTTTGTATAGGTTTCTAGATACCCTAAAAAGGCATAATATATCAAAACACGATCTTTGGTTTTGTGAAATTAGCTGGCCCTTTCATGAATGATTCTAAGTGTGAGTTTGGATCACCAAGGGTATCAATGCTCAGTGTTTAAGGAGGCGTCAGTGAATTAATGTATGAAAAAAAAAATTTAATTAAGAAAAATGTATATTTCTTTTTTTTTTTTATTACTTTTTTTTTATCAGCAATAGATAACAGATATGGATAAGCATTGGCTGGAGATAAAATAATATTGCTGTTTCAGGTACACTAGAAAAGGGCTGTTAACTACAATACTTGTATTATTAGCAAGACGCTTGAGCGTGACACATTATTAAATTTACTTTAAAGAGAAAGATTTTTCCTACACTTACTCCATGCGAGAATTAAAAAATTATAAAGCTTGTCTGTTCCTTTGTTTTTCCAAAGAATGACTGCTGTTGTGGGGTGATGAAAGAATTTCCATCCGAGTTGTTCTGAATCATTTAAGACTATTGTTGATTACATTTTGTATGTTTTCAGGAGAGTGAAATGCCTATAGAAGATCTTTTGGCACAGTATGCTGCAGGTCCAGCAGGCTCAGAAGAATTAGCTGACAATTCCCAGTCTACATCTTCCAGTAGTGAAGAAGAAGCTTTTGATGGTCATAGCCTACGATTCGAGAAAGAAATACATTCTCAGCATGCAATAAACAATGGCACTGGATCAGATGAAAGGGATATCAATCCACATGAGTCGGTACATAATGTATCCAGATCGCAAACTGGTCGCTTATTAAGATGTGAGTTAAAAGTAAAACTTGCAACCTCAAATACATTGACTGATCAATTGTGATGAAGTGATTTTAAACAAACATATTTTTTTTTAAATTGTAGTTTGGTTTTTTTTTCGTATGAGAGGGTCCCCACACAGTCTGGAAATAGTCAGGAATTTATTGAATGATTTTCCCGGTCGGGAAAATGTGCCTTTTAGTAAGGAAATTTTCTGAATTTGTAAAAAATAATAATAAATTTAACTTTGGGTGCCATGAAAATTGACGGTAATTGCTGATCTCGTCTACTTTTAGCCTTTCTGTTCAAAAGGACATTGCTAGTGGTTTTCCCTTAACTGCGCATGCGTTTTGAGCTCTACAAGTATCTATTTCCGTACAACTTCAATAGACCAGAAATATTTATTTTCTGTTCACATCGCCGATCAAGAGATGTTCGGCTGTTTGGGTAAGTAAAGTGTAAAATATAGTAAATAATTATTTGAATCTAGTTTTCAATTGTGAGGTAACCATTATAAATAGAAATCTACTCACCCAAGCGCTGTCTACAATGACTAAACTTAGCGTATTTTGTTATGCCATAGTCTTCATAAGTTGATTTTAAGTCGGTTTTACCAAATGTGAATGTGGGTTTGTGTTTTGTTTTTATTAGCGCTAGGCAGCCGTAAACTTATTTTTAAGACTTTTAAGTTCACTTTACATTTAATTGCCGAGTAGGCCTTCTAATTTTAAATAGGCTAATATGATTAAGTTATTTCGTGATGTTATTTTTGCGTAGATTAATTAGCTAGTTTACTGCAGATGTCGGAAATTTAAAAGTTAATTAAACTAAAACTAGTTGACTGAACTTAATACATCGATTCAGTGAGCCTAACTACCGTACTAATATAACTGTATATAGTTAGTCGTTATTTTATGCACTCCTGTGCTCTGGGTATACTTTACGGTATTATACTATTATTCATAAGCACAGTGGCGTAGGCAAGGATTGTTCTTTTTTGTGTATTTGTGGGGGTCCTTTGGATACCCCAAAAAAAGTGTGTGAAGGGTTAATAATGCATTCCCCTGCAGAAAATCTCAACTATGCCGTTTCATATGCATATAATAGTATCTCTTCTGACTATATTACTATTACTGTAGTTTAGTATGGGTATAATATATTCTATATGATGTATGCCTTACTGAAAGTTATAAACATAATATTAATATGATAATATATTTTATTTTGTTTCACTATTCAGGGTCAAGGCTCAATAAAATAATGCCCAACAGTTCCTTTAAAGACTGATGGTCAGGACAGCTATCATGATAATGACTGAACAAGTCATCACTGCTTCACTGTGCTGGAAATATTGATATGAAGTATTCAGTGCGAAAATATTTTAAAATGTCAATCATCTGATGAGACTTCAGCTTTATCACCTATCTTAGGTGTCCAGTTCTGCAACTTCTCAGCCAAGCTCCAAATATATGTGTCAAAATATGAAACCTTCATTGGAGAGATTTTATAGACACTAAAGTGTGTTGACTGAAACTCATTTTCATCACAAAGAAGAGAACGCTAACTCCATATGAAAAAAGATGCTTTCCACTTGTAGCTATACGTATGTGCTAAAAAGCCCCGGAGAACACATTGCAAAAGTTGCACTTTAAAAGTAAACGTCAACAATTTTTCATGTCTAAGTAAATTGAAAAATTGCAATTTTTAACCCATTCTCTAGTGTTGCGACCAAATGCGACATACCCGCCTCACTACTAATGCGACCAAATGCGCCATGACGCCTAGCTACGTACACATAACACACGATATCGCGAGAAGCATTGTTGCCTCGCGAATAGCTTTGGGATTTTAAGGAAGTGAGAATAGAGCTGCTTCCGTTTCTATCATTTATGGTTTGAAAGTTGCCTGGTGTAGAAGTCGGCTACTTTTAGTGAATTTGGTAGTGTGTTTTTGAAGACTTATTTTGGTATGGCGTTTCAGTTTCTGGACTTGATTGCTGCTTCATCGTCTAATTATTCAGTTGCAACTAATTCAGACAATGAGGACGAATCTGACATTGAGATAGAACAAAATGCGCTAGACTTAGACAGTGAATCGGAATATAACTCTATGAAAGTAACCCCAGTAACAGTGATGAAGAAGACACTGTCACCGATTCTTGGTCTGACAATTTGACCAGTGTTACGGATAAATTAGAGAATTTCAATGAAATAATAGATGGAATACACAACCTTCCTCTTGACAGTAGTCCAATAGACTACTTTAAACTCTTTGTGACTGATGCTGTGGTGGAGATCATTGTGATCGAAACCAACCGATATGCAGACCAGCAGCAAGCAGCTTAGGGCAAAACAGATGCCCAGTGGAAGGGTGTTTCCAGTGAGGACATTTATAAACTCATTTACATCAACGTTATGTTTGGATTACTTAAATTGCCAACCACAAAATTGTATTGGTCTGCTGATAAGCTGTGGAGGGTCCCTGCAGTTGCAGATGGGATGGGGCGCACCTGTTATGAAAAAATCAGACAGTATTTTCACCTCACTAATAGTGAGCAAACTCCAGCCAAGAACGCCGCAAACTATGATCCCCTCTACAAAGTTGGGCCTCTATTGGATCATTTTAGGAATGTATGCCAAACAGCGTACAAACCACATCGACAGCTGTCTGTGGATGAGGCAATGGTTGGATTCCGTGGTCGCTTGTCCTTCAAGCAGTCTTTGAGCAATAAACCAACCCCATGGGAGATTAAAATATGGTGCTGGTTATGTTCTCAACTTCCAGATTTATACAGGAAAAAGCAACAATCCATCCGATCATGGACTGGGGTATAATGTTGTTATGAACATGATGGAACCATACCTGGATAGGTACCATGAAGATTTTTTTGACAACTTCTTTTCCTCCCCCAAACTCGCAGAGGACCTCCTACAACGCAAGACGTACAGCTGTGCAACCATTAGGCCTAACAGAAAAGGCTGGCCACTAACCAAATCAAAACAGAAGAGGGGTAGTGTCAAAATTAAACAGAAGGGTCTAATGGTTGCCACACAATGGACTGACAAAGGGCAAGTCAACATACTTTCAACAAATAATGACCCGGTGGTTACCACAGTTCAACGCAGGTCGAAACATGGAATGGTGGACACAGAGATCCTAATGCCTGTTGTGAACTACAACTCTGGTATGTTCAGTGTTGACCTGTCAGACCAGCATCGTGCCTACTATCCTGTGGGCAGAGCAAGCACGAAGTGGTGGAGGTATGTCTTTTGGTATCTCATAGACCTCTCAATGGTCAACAGCTTTCTCTTGATCAAAAGCGCCAAACCGACAGATGCTGCAGACTCTCCTGCCCAAAATCATCTTCTATTTAGAAAAGCTGTTTTGGACCAGCTTTTGACCGGAGCTACACAGTGCAGGCAACCTGACACACCAAGTGTCTCTGGCAGATACAGCCCGTACAACAGCATATGTTAAGCTTAATGCCTGGTCGAAAACGAAGGTGCTACCAGTGCTCTGTTGATGGACAGCAGTAGACCCAGAGAGACGACAACAGGCTGTCATTTATGTCAAGTCCACCTACATAAGGGGTACTGCTTTTCAAAGTTCTACGAAACACTTAAACAATAATAAATGACAAACAATGGCGGTCAACGCTAAGAAAAAGCTGTGTAAATTTGAAAACTTTTTCCAGAATTTATTTAAAATATATTTGTAAATTAAAGTATACAAACCTATACATTTTTAAAAAGGTCGTACAATTTTCTATTTTTTAATATATGCTCATTTTAAGTTGATGTTTAGTCGTTTAAAAATATTTTTATTTAACATGGGGGTGCATGTTTTTTTAGAGTGATCCCCCTTTGCTTAGCATTTCAGGGGTGTTTTGGTGTTAGTGGTTAGTAGCGAATGGGTTAAGAAATTAAAAGATATTTTAATGTATACACCTCAATCGCTTAATTTTTTTGTTCATTTGTGATGTATTTCAATGTTGCTTTACATGTTTTTTTTTATATTAACAAAACGCCGTGTTGCGAAAGACAGGAATTTTTTGTTTTTAGTTGGGAAAAGTAGAGAAATTTTGTTTTTAAAAAGGAGTGGGAACCCTGGAATGTTTAGCAATTTTTAAAAAAATTTTGTGCACTTTTTGTCTTTTACTTTGTATTAAAATTTCAATCATGATATCATAAATGTTGTTAATTACAGTACTGAAAAATAAAGTTTTAATTTTTTTCAAGAATTTACCCCATTTCAAAGCCTTTTTTTTTAAATTATTATTTTTTGGGGTTTTTTTTGGTTTATAGTATAGTGACAAAAAAAAAAATGGTATCTTAAAAGTGTGTACTTTTTTTGTTTGCTAAAAATCGTGCTGGATCCCGGAAGAGAATCAAACCCTTATCTAATCTCTATATGCCGCCCTGCATGTCATTCCTTCATTGGAGTATTGTACAAGTTTTTCATGTACACCATAATGCCAGAGAGGTTTCCACAGTTTGTCCAAGCTATCAAAGGCTTTTGTATATTCATTTTATGGGGGAATTCAATTTAATTAACTGTTCTACAATGTTCTAAAGTTTATTATGAAAATTTAATTTATTTCAAAATTTTTTCTTTTCAGCCACCAGTCATCCAGAAAGCGATGAGTCTGGGTCTTCTTCTGATGATGAAAATTATGAACCCATAGAGGAACATAAAAAGGTTATTAAAGCAATTATTTATAATTTAGTATTTATTCGTAAAATACACCCTCATACATCACTTAGATAGGTAGATGTCAGTTTTAACCCATTCACTATTAACCTCTAATGCTGAAACACCCTCTGGAATACTAAACAAAAGGAGATAACTTGCATTTACAGGCCCCCAATGTTATAAAAGTAATTGTTTGAACCATAACATCATGCAATTTTTTTTTCAATTTAACAATAGAAAAATTAATGACGTTTCTGAAAATGTAATAGCTTTTATATACTTTTATTTACTCTTCTTTTTGCTTTAAAGTAATTAATCCTTTTTTTTTTTTAATTTCCGCATCATTTTAGAATGTTTGCTGTGATTTTAGAATCTTATGAAATTTTGAAAACCAGGAACCCTTGTAACTAGTGTACAGCCGATTGTTGTTTCCCTGTTTCACCACTGTTCTTCTTGTTATCATCAGTTGAACAATAGTAATGTCAACATTTTCTGTCATTTATGGGGCACAGTGTTTGATAACTGCTGTATGGCCTATTTTTTTGTTTCCATCATCATGGCATAAAGCTATACCATTCCATGGGTTATAATAAAAAGTCTGAAATAATCTGCTGTACAGCTATAAATTTTAAAAAGCTATCAATGCAACCCTTCAATCTCTTTCAATCTGATCTGATCTGTAACACTGGTCAAATTGTCGGACCAACACTCGGGGGACAGTGTATCACATTGTCATCAGATCCCTCTTAGTATCATTCAAATTTGATTATTATTATTATTCTCATTATTTTTATATGATCTACGTCAATATCTGACTTATTTTTATTGCTAGTACCGGTATTATTGAATGAATATCTATATTGAATTAGACACTGAACCAGCAATCAAACTAAAATACCATAGCAATAAATTCTCGTACAGCACAAATTCCCTAATGCAAGACCAACTTTACAACTCATAGCTCATGAACATCTGTTTTTTATTTTAATACACAATCACCTAACTTTCCAATGTTATCCCATGGAAACAACACTGCTCGTGAGACAGACTGGTATGTTCGTTGCTAGGGGCTACAACACACTTGCGAGGGGGGGAGGGGGTGTTGCATTTGGTCGCAATAATAGTGAATGGGTTAAACTTTTTTTTTAACTTTGAAAAGCCTGACACTAGATACAGTCTTGTATGGACTTGAATGAACTAGTAGGATCTTTTTAAATTGAACTTAAAACTCAACATCTATGCTAATGAGATATCCTGATTTGCATAATTAATGTATGCAATTTTTTTTGTAGAATTAGAATTAGCATGTCTTACTTGCAGAATTTTATTGAATTTTCTGATTGTTAAACTTTAAATAAGTCCCAAAAAAGTTAGAATGGTATTCAATGTGAAAAAAATGCACAAAATATACCCCTGAGGGGCTTATGCGTGTGGCATTTTTCAAGGTCACATTGAAGCATTTATAGGGGCCAATGGTACCAAAAAAATTGACAGAACACTAAATTGTCAATCAAAGCTGCCATTAAAATGGGGTGATGAGCAAGAAATATGAGAAGCACTCTTGATTAGCTGGTACAAAGACCAGCCAGCCAATCTTGAGGCTTATATTATTGGGCCTTATAGATCTGCCCAGCCCTTCTAGAGCATGTTAATTATCTCAAAAATTAATATTATTTGAACACTTCAAGATGTCATATTTGTTTACTTAATGGTAAAAAATAATGCGCATAAGTCGAACTCACTGTTAAAAATTACTGTTGGGTAACACCTAATTTAATACAGACTAAATACTAAAATTAGTTAGTGCAAACTGAAATTAACTATAAAAAAGCGAACATTTGTGATGATATACTTTAAAAAGTTATTCTAAACTCATTTTATAGAAATATCTCAATAAACAAAAACGTTCAGCAATTTTCAAATTATGCTGAAAATCAAATAAAAAATTGATATTTATTTTTATTCTGAAAAAATAGCCATTTTTAAGGACCTATATTTCCTAAAGTAATCAATAGAGAAGTCCGGAAATCAGTGCATTTGCTTAAGCCTTAAAACAGTTAAGCTCAATTTTTTTCAAGCAGCTAGTACAATAAATTCAAAATTTTTTAAAAACAGAATGCTTTTTTTTTTTTTTTTTTTTTTTTTTTTTTTTTTTTTTTTTTTTTTTTTTATTTTTTTTTTTTTTTTTTTTTTTTTTTTTTTTTTATGATAAAATTTGTATTTTTTGCTAATTTTTTTTAAGTTTTTATTTTTAAAAACCTATGCCTATTCTCCTGGCATTCTTTATTTTTATGTCTCTTGGTAAGTAGTTAAAACAAAACACTCTCTCCTTTTCCTCTCCCCATTTTAGTAGACTTTTTTTTTTACACAACCACTACCCTAGTTGCCATGACACGTATGTTGTCATGGCAACAAAGATGGCTGGGGGGGGGGGGGGGGGGAAAAAAAAAATTTTTTTTTTTATTTTTTTTTTTTTTTTTTTTTTTTTTTTTTTTTTTTTTTTTTTTTCTTGCTTTCTGACCAAAAAAGTGTAAAAACAACTATTTGAAAACTTTGCATTTTTAAAAAAAAATATATATATCATGGACTTACATAAACATATAGTATAACAAATTGAATATAGTTTTAAGCAGCACAACTTGCACTGTGACTTAATGGCATCAAGAAACATGTAATAACATATGACTGGTATGTACATACTGCACAATTTTTTAAAATGGGGGTTCAAAAAATATGATTTAAAAACTTGTGTTGTCATGTTGCTTTATCAAAATCAAAGGAAAATTATTCCAGATGTGTCTACTCATAACTAAAAGAATAATAAAAACAATAATCAATGCAGAGTATTATAAAAAAAATATATATAGGAATTTAGCGTAAATTTCAATTAAATTATCTGGAAAATGCCCAGTCTATCTAATGGATCGTGACCGGGTAAGCTTCTGTAACCAAATTCTGTAGTATCATATTTGAAGACTACAGGGGAAAAACCACAGTTGTCCAATTTTACACATTTTCGCGTTTGTGTCACTTTCATCGAGTACTGGTGCTTAACTATGACCTCTGAAAATATACAAGCGAAAAACCACCGTCGTCATTAAAAAATTCTTTCAAATAGAAATCTTTAAAATCAAATGCTCCTGAAGTCTTCAAACACAAAATTTCATTTATCTCAAAAATAGAAAAAGTGGACAACTGTGGGTTTTCCCCTGTAGTCTTCATTTGCTTTCTGTACTAAGTTCTAGTTTCATTCTCCATTGTTGATATTTAGTAGATTTAATAATCACATGAAAAAATGTAATGTAACTAGTCACTCTCATGTAGCATCAAATTGGCAAAAATGTTACTTAAAAGTTAATTAAGATAGAATTATTATTTTTTTTAGTTTTGAAATAAACCCTGAATTTGAGAATCATAGGTGTTTTTTTAAACTCAAGAATATGTGAACTAGTCAAGTCCATGGTCTTAGGCCTATGCTATAGACTTACTAGTGAGTCTAAGATGAAGCAATATTAAAACAATTTTAACTTAGAAATAAGTTTTATTGAATTATAATAAATTATTCACAACCTCACTTTCAAGATAACCTTGCAATTATTTGCATAAACTATGTATAAACTCACATCTAGTCAATATGTTCAGTTACTCATGCATTATAAATTATATGAAACTTTAATACTACCACTTATGAGTTGATTAAAGACGCAAATATAGTTAAAAAGCTCCCACTGTGGCACTGGTAGTAGTGACCAAAACACATCGACCTTCTACTTCTACCTTCTTCTTAAGCTGTAGAACTGGACATAATCTTGTTGTTTTTTTTTTTTTGTAAACATCACAGCTCTGCGCCCATTGTGCCCACTCCTTTGATCTTTAGCAATTAAATAGTTAAAAAGGTGAACTTTCCAACAGTGTAAAAAAAAAGTAGTAAAATCTCTGTGATCAATGTGATAGGTATATTTTCTATACATCTGCTCTTTCTTATGGTGATGGTGGTAGAATTATTTCGATAGCTTAAATATGCACATAGCCACACGCATTTGAAACACCATGTGGAAAAATAGGCACTCGCAAAAACACAGTACAATTTGTCAAAACTGATACTTTTTCAAAGACACAAAATTAACACATTTGTTTATTTTAGACAATTCAAGTTGGTTCAGACTTTCAAGCAGTTATTCCTTCCGGTCTTTCTGCTTATGGAGATGCTCCTGCCTATGAAAATGAAGACAGGCTTTTATGGGATCCTTCTAAAATTAAAGATGAAGCAGGTGATTTTATTTTTGTACAAAATTACTTGAAATGGTTATGCTTTAAAGTGAAATGAATTTCAATGATTCACTTTCTCAGCATTGTGAAGCTTTACTGCTTTTTGACATTACTCATATTACTGTCCTCTTTTTCTTTCTTTTTTCAATCTTTCAGCTCTAAATGATTACCTCTGTAATGTTCAACGAGAGGTTGACAGAAAGCTTCACACAGTTGCAAGCATTCCAAGGGGCAAGCATATACGTGATGATGAACAGGTAAGCAAGAACATATATTAAAAAAAAAAGAATAGTCCATTTATTCAATTTCAACAATCATGATGCAGATTTTTAAAGTATAACTTGTAACAAAATAGTATTGATGAGTCAGCTCTGATTAAGCTGAGTTATGTCTTTGAAGCAAATTATCTAATTCAGTTACGGTTCTTTATTTTTGTCAGGCATTGTTTCTGTTACTGCAATGTGACAACAATATAGAAGAAGCTGAAAGAAGGCGAAAAATGCAAGCAGTTCCACCCACAGGTTAGAACCAAACCATGATACATTTATGATTGCCAGCCTCTCAAGACATTATCTATTTTAAAGTATCTATTTTTACACCCCAAAAAAACCCAATAAAACTGCTGCACGCGTATTTAAAGAGGGTGTTTGTGTTGTGTGTGTTTTGCAATTGTGTGCTTTCCTTTTTTCTACCCAATTTTAAGCTTCCGGTGTTTAAAACAATTTCAGATGTAATGAGCTTATGGTCAGAAGATGAATGTCGAAATTTTGAAGATGGGTTACGTTTATATGGCAAAAACTTTCATGAAATTCATCACAACAAGGTTTGTTAGCTTAGGATTATAATTTTTCTACCATTAAGTAAATGATGAAGATAAAAATAATTCCTTGTTACTTTGTACATAGATGTATTGTTTTTAAACATTTGCTATTATCAATTTAAAACAAAAAATACATACCTTTCATTAAGTGATTTATTTCAATAGGTGCGGACACGTTCAGTTTTTGAATTAGTTCATTTCTACTATTTATGGAAAAAAACTGAGAGGCATGATATATTTGCTGCAAAGACCAGAGCAGAGAAACGAAAATATTCACTAAATCCTGGCGTTACGTAAGTTTTGCATTTACATTATAATGAGAGTTTGTATAATATTGTTTTTAAAAAATTAAATTTAAGCTTTGATTGGTAATTATTTTGACATACAATTTTAATTTTTTGCCTTTGCAGAGATCACATGGACCGTTTCTTAGAGGAGCAAGAAGTAGAGCTACATCAAATAATGGCACCACAGCCTTCAGACTCGAAGGTTGATATGTCCGATGATGATCCCACTAGATCTAACATGGGCCTTTTTAACACTGGTAAAACTACCATTATGTCCCCTTCTCGCCATTTAGATAGGGGTCTTGTTAAAGGTGAACATCTTGGACCTTCGAAACGTATTCACCATCTGCACCATCATGGGGACATCTATGGTAACAACTGCCGTACTGAGAACCCTACAGATCATCTGTCTCCCAAAAAGCTTAAGCTTGACAACTTCATATTAGATCAACAGTCACCTAAGAAGCAAAAACTTCTTGACCTCGGTCAAGAGTCTTTAGGGACATCTCCCAAGCAACCCTCATCCTTAACTAATCCTCTACTTACTGATAAAAATCTGTCCGTGCCTGAGTGTGAGCAGGGAAATCAACCAAAGCATATAGAAAACAACACTAGTGCATTCTGTATGGTGGCTGGGGCAACCGATACTGATATTGGTTCAGGCATCAGAACAGATGGAGCTATAGACAAACTCACAAGCAGTGAAATTTCTTTTTCACCAGTTACATCATGTAAATCTCCAAGTCTTACACAAGTCTCGGCTAATGTCAACAAGCCAGTGAGCAGTGCTGGAGACACTGCTGGCCCAGACCTAGCATATAAATCGGTAACATCAGAATCTGCAGTGCAGTAGAATTGAAAGGTTGGATGTTTCGAATCATTTAAAATGTTGGTGCAGTAACTCTGAACTTTTGTTGAATGCATTTTTTTTTTAAATTTAATTTTCAAAGAAATGTTAAATATTGTATATTTGTAAATGTTTGGTAGTTTGCAGTGAAGTGAGTATGTAAGAAGTAAGCCTGTGGTAATCAATTTTATGAATGTGGATTTTTTTGCCTCCAAGTTACATTGCATGAAAGACATTTGTGTTCCTCACAAATAATTATATTTTCTAATAACTACTACATGCCTGTTTATTTATTATGTAACATGTCGAACTAGAGCATAGAAACTCATGGGAAATGCATTATGTACAAGTTTTCATTGGGGCTTATTAATATTTTTATTTAAAATTTTTCCCTAAATCATTTTAATTCAGAATTACAATATTCTCCAAACAGAAAAAAATTACACAGCATTTTTTATTATTTTAATTTTCGTATTTATTTGGATAACAAATGAATATCAAGATTGAAGCTGTGGTTCAACAAAACTATTAATTGTTGAAGAAAATTGATGGTACGCCCAACTTCATAAATTCAATGCTTTCTTTCCAAGTGGTTCATTGTGTTTAGCTCCTATCTCAGGTGATTCTTGACTGTGATCATTAGATTTTGACTGGAAAAAAGAAGAGCAAAAGTTGGACATCTTTAATTTTTGACTTAGTAACTTAGTAGACATTTCATTTAACTATAATTATAATGGATTTAATGGAACTATTTCTTTTTAATTTGTATATAACTTTATAACCCCGACTTACAGCGGAATAATTGAAAGAGTGGGGTGGTTTGATTATGAGCATGTTATTGTTATAGGAGATTTTTATAATTTTGTCTCCAAGCTTTGTTAGAAAACAATGTTGAAAATGTAATTTACTGAAGTCACCTTAAAGCAGAGTGGGGAAAATTGGGTCCCAAACTTGGTCTTCATTTTGTGACTGCTGCTGTGATTGGCTATGCTTGGATAGTATAAAGTACCGACATTAAATAATGAGATATCAGGTGATCATATTTGAGAATGGTCACAGCAACTCTCATTTTGGAATACACACACAAAGAAAGACAAGAAGACCACATATTTCTTTCCAAGTGAAAGTCATCTATTTTTGGAAATAATCGGTATGGTTTGACACATGAAACAAGTAGACTATCTGAGTTTTTGAGTCTTTTACTTTTAGTTACACAATAATTATTTTTAAAAGTCTAGGGGTTTGTTTGTTTTTTTTTTTGGTAGTTTTTTAAAATCTTAGTACCAGCATATTGTTATAACGGATGAGCAGGTTTTAACATAACAGGCTTTTCTAGGCCAAAATTTAGATAGGGGGGCTGGGGGTGTTGACATATGAACAAAAGGTTTAGTAGAAATAGTATGTAAAATATTGCCTCATTTGGTGGCTTTAAAGTTAAAGCAAGTTTAGTATGTTAATGTTACTTTAAAACTTACCCTTTTCTTTCTTTTTTTTAGAGCATGTGGGGTTAGAGGGTGAGGTGAGCTGTTTTATTCAATCACAACACATGAAGATGGGGCTATCCTATCAACCTGTTGAGCAACCCCTTCTCTGTCAGTTTGTTTTTATTTCCCTTAAAACTTAATTGCATGGGAGGATAGATGAACAGTTGTTGATTTTATTGATGTGAAAGCAAAAGGCCCACAAAGAAGGCAGATGGGCAGTGCCTTTTTTATTCAATTTAAAATAGCTATCTTAAATAAAAACTAAAGCCAGTCAACATTACTATTTAGTTGGGGTTTTTTTTTTTACGATTCATATAAACACGTCTTTTGTTTCTCTCTGATTGAGTATGGAACGGTTAAGTGCTAAATTGAATTTTATCACTGAGCCCCTCCCCCAACTTTTGCTAAGGAAACCTTTGGCACACTAAATTTCTGATTCACCATCAACCAACAATTAAAGCAAGGACACAATTTTTAAAAAGCTCTTCATATTGTTAATGGAGAAATAGGCAATAACTTGGATCGGAGGATAAAGATACAACAAATTGAAGCTTCTAGTGGACAGAAAAACAGCATTACACCTAAGTATAAAAAAAAATTAGTAAAAATATAAAAACGTGGCTTCAAAAAAATAATAATAAGTGTGGGTGATTTTAATATGAATTACTGAGGTTATATTTTGTTCCTAATTTTGTAAATATACTTGTTTGTGAATAATTGAATTTATTTAAGTTTAGCTGATATTCCCATTAAAATAACGTCTTTTATACCAATAAATAAAATTAAACATTTATTGATGTTTTACCAAGTAATAAGCAATTAATCAGATTTTAATTGCAGTACATATCTATTATTTATTTATAGAAAGAGGAAATGTACTTTGTGTTTAGCTCACAAGAAAAACTATTTTTGCATATGTTGCGCAATAAAATTGATATGAAAAGTTTCATTTGTTCACAATATTACCAGTATAACAACTTAACACTAATTTTAAACTCCAGGCTGAACTTATAATAATTTATAAGATTTTGTCTAAATTCTCTACCAATATAATCGTGTTCTGATGTGTGTACAACATCATCTTGGCTAAATATATTTTTTTTAATTGTATATATATATTTCATATTGATAACATTTATAGCTATTTGGACTTTTCTTTTATCATATTCTCACTTGCAGGACTATTGTCAATTTCAATTTATGAGATACATTTTTTAGAATAAAATAAACTTATTATAAAGTTTTGTGTCCAACTTCAATCACTTAAGTTATTAAAAGATATTTTTATTCAACTCTTTAGTTAATTTATGTTTTTATCCACCTAACCACAACTTGATATGCCGTTTAAATTACAATTTCTAAAACCAACAGCTTTGTTGGTTCTTAAAACAGAGATGGCTAAATTTTTATGTTTGTATATCTACCAAGAATCCAAGGCCTATTGTTAATATTACCATATAAAATATATATATATATAAGTATATATATATATATACTTTTTTTTTTAAAAGTGAAATGCTTTATATTTTCCTATAAAGTTTTCAGTAATTGATGAATTTGTGTTTTTATATTTTTTTTAAGGAAGAAAATTACTCACTCTGAAATTTCAATAAATAACTTGCGTTTTACAAGAGAGACATAGACAATAGTAAATATATATAAACACACATAAAAGCTGGAGTAAATCTTACATTTTATAATTTATACTGTTTTTATTCCACCATCGACAAATATTTTGTTTCCCCCTTAATAAAAAAAATCAATTAATATTTTTCTTTTGGTGCATATTGATGAACTAGCAGTAAATGAATGTTAAGGAGACATATTTTTATAATTGACGCACAACTGAAAAGATAGGTCATAATATCATTACTTAAGTTTTGTTAGGTCCTGATATACATAACTAATATCGAGTTCCAACTGAATACATCAGAGGCTGACATTTTTTTTAGCATGCATGCCAAAATTATAAAATCGTGATGCCGAATTTCCAAGGCACCAAGTGACTTATTAAAAACAGCATATGAATGTAAAATAATAAGGGTAGACCACTGTTGAAATTATTTTTGTAAGTTTTTCTCATGGTGGAAAATAAGTTGTTTGTATGCACTATTTGGTACTCCTTTTTTCCTGAGACTACGAACCTTTCAAAAATGAAATACAAATTTACTTAACATGAATGAATCTTTAATCAGATATCAAGGCTTATGAAACACATTCACTGGTGATTTATATCTTTCGATTACCATAACAAAAATAAACAAACCCTCTTCTTTACACTATTCGTAAATAGTAACATCATATCATTCTTGTTACCCAAGAGATAACAATTCATAATATAACTGAATAAGGCACAGGTTTCAAAAGTATTTTGAGTAGTGACCACATATAACAGCATTTTAGAGATATTGAGTTGCAAATGGGAAAGCACAGAAAAACCTCGGTGTGCAAGTGTTTTGCAAGAGAAACAAAAGTTTTAAATTTGAACGATAAAAAAGAGCAAGCAGTAGGAAGGATGGCCATCATTTCAAGTGCTAGTGAAGGAAGATGCACAGAAATTGACCACTGACTGATGAATCTGCAGCTTAGGCAGAGGTCATGGAGGGGATCTCATCTGAAATGTAGAAAAATACTGAAAAATACCTCAATTCAAATAAGATTCGAGAGATGTGTAAATAGTGCATTTTTTAGAAAATAACTAGATAATAGTGGTGCAAGGGATGAATCTGTTAAAGGAGGGAGGGGAGTCACATTTCAACAATATCATTGCAAGGAGGTAAAAGCAACGTTCGTTACATAGGTTACAAAGAAAATTCTAGCGAGCCAACATATTGCTGTGATTCTGTTAGTGACAGTGAAAGTCATACACAATAAATCTCCACTCTCTCGTCTCTCTCCTATCCAAGATTAAATTAATTAAATTTTATAGCATAAAAATGTACCAGTATTTAAATTAATCATTGGACTGTGGAACAAATCATTATTTGTTATAAAACTGGTTTGGATTATAAGCTTGCAATCCAAGATTTTACAGTATTTTTATATATTCAAACTTTAAGACACATAAAAAATAATTACCTGGTAGTTTTACAATCATTATTTTTTTAATTTATTATTTTTAAGTTTCCTATTTCACAAAGCAAACCCCACGTAAAAACCCCTTACAGAGGTTAATCAGGAAAAAACAACTACCATTACATTTGAATATATCTTTCAAGGTTTTCTTCAGAAGAGCATTCCATCAAGCTAAAAACATGTACGCTATATTTATAAGAAGCAGAAGATAACCTCCACGGTTAATTTTTTCCCAATGCAACTTTTATCAAAAGAAACACAAAGCATTACTAATATATAATTATTTTCCAGTCCCATGTGGCTCTTGGTCTATCTACACGTAAGAGCAAAAATGTGCTATTCAACAAGTTTCTGTGACACACCAGTGTGTTGATATGATCTAGTTGAAATCCAGATTTTGAATACTTAATTATTGGAAATTTTCATTGAATTTTTATTTTTCATCCAAACTACATGAGGTTAAGAATGAGTAACTTTATTTGTGGTCACTGCTAATAAAACAACACCTTATTTAAATCACAGTGTGCACATTATAATTATTTTACTCTCGATATAAAAAAAAGTTTCCCATGATAACACCCTGTTATTGGTAACTCTTTAAATAAATCGGTAAGCTATAATGTATAGATATATAAAACTGTACATGAATACTGAAACCCAAAGAACATGTTTTTATAACTAATAACAGTTAAAAATAAGATCTAAAACATAGAATGTAATTTGTATGTATGATTATAATAATAACCTATTATTTAAATAAAGTAGTTAGCACCAAAAGATATGTACAAAAAAAATTTACATATTATTTATGTAGCCTTGAGTTTTATAAATGTATTCAATCATTTTTTTACATTGCATATTTCTTAGAAAAAAATGCCAAGCAGAAATCCAACTATTATTTGTGTAATGTTATTTTGCAATGGTCCAAAGTACAAACCCAAACAAATGCTCCATCTTCATGTTTAGTTAGTTTTAGTTGAGTCTAGTTGCCTCACATTATTTAACTCTGTTAAAAATGTCATTAAAAAAATCTCCCAAGGCATAAAAATATATCATGACACTTCAGTTAAGTAATAAATAGTAAGTAACGTATTCTATTAAAAAACATCATGATCAAAGTTATAATCTTGTAAAATGTATGCTACCATCTTATTGTGTATAGCCATATTTAAATAATATATAGCTTAAAATATATTTCACTCAGGATTTGTATGTATTACTACATGAATATTTACATAAGTTTTTTACAATTGTTTCAATTACGACATGTCACAAAGGCACTTAAATGTATGGAAATTCCCATGAAAATGAGATTTATACAAAAGTAGAATTAAATATACAAATTTATCAAATGTGCATGTACACATTTTTACCCAAGTAGAAAAATGGGACTAGTTTCACAATTTTCACTAATAAATATATATTCTGCATTGTGTCAAAATAGACAAATAAGTTTTAAGGTTATAATATAACAACCAACATTTTTAGATTTCAAAATGCATACAAAACAAAATGAATTATACAATATGAAATTTTTATATATAAATATGTATATTATAATGAGCCACAAAAGCTTCATATTTGGTCTATGCTCCATTTAAAATTATTTTTCACTTGAATGTTAAACATGATTGTCAACTATGCACATAACTACAATGACTCTTATTGTTGAAACTTTAAATTCTTAAGAAACTTGTAGTTTTTTTTCTTAAAGGTTTTTTAATAGTGTTACTGATATAATATTGTCATAGAAAAGCTTACCAGATGTACATTAGCCAAATAGGAGTGGGGTGTTGCAACAACACAACCCTTTTCTTTGTTACCCCGGTAATTATCAGATGGAGAGGGAAATGTGTTCAAAACATGTAACAGACAACTCCCTCAAAAAAACTTCCTACTTTATGCCATGTTTGACAAACTGTCATAAGAATATGGACAAGTCATTTAATTTGAGGGGTGGGGGGGGGGGGGGGAGGCTACACAACCATTGATATGCAAAAAGAATAATTTCACAATTACAATATATTCAATAAGTCTACTAAGACTTGTATTCTGCTAGTAGTAGGAAGTTAACACCTAAATCAAATAATTATATTAAACTCAATTATTATTATACAATTGGTACAGCTCAGTACTTAAGTTTTTTTTTTAAATTATATAAGTGTTATAACTTTGGCAATTACCATCATTTTGGTGTAATAGACAATTCCTAGATCCGCCTCTGCCTAGAGAAAATATTCTTTTGTCCATATGTTGCAGACTGCAAACAAAAGTAAATTCTCAACTTTGGCTGCATCACATTTAATAGAATGTAATGCAAGAAAGGTCAATACATTATAGGTATGACTGACCACTGTATTGTTTGAATAAGATACTTATTGACCCTGTGAGGTTGATAAAGTAAATTTTCCTATTGTATAAAAGTGTATAAATGTTACTAAAACAATAAACATAGACACCCAACGCCTCTTGTGTGTTTGTTTTTTTAAAATAATGTATAAAGAATACATTTTCAGATCTTAAAATATAATTTCAAATGCATAGTATTTTATATAGTCCTTTCCATGAAACTATTTTGTAAATGGCCATCCTTTTTTTATGGCAATTTGTTGTGGGGGGGGAGGCAAGCAGATGGTATTCATTTCTTAAGTTTCAAAATTTATGTAAGATAAAAATATATATAATAATATATGTTCAGTTTTGCCCATTCAAGCTCAATTGGAAAGATCTTTTTTTCAAAGACCCATGTGATTAAGAAAGCCATGTGATTCAAATTCAATTTTGACATGTCATGAAAGTTAAAGGATGTGCATTACAGTTTGTCTGACTATTTTGCTTCATTACAAGTTATCAGGAAACGTCAGGGGATGCAAATAAAATTTAAATCACTAGCTAAAAGTCTGGTCATAGGAATGTTAGAAATTATACCAAAATAACCAAAAAACAAACATAAAACTTGTACATTCTGAATAAACCCAACCCATTAAAAAATGTTCACAAGAAACTGAATGGTTAAGTCTGGTTAAGACTGTTTTTATAACTCAAAGTGCTGTTTAAGACTGATGACTAAAATGATTTATGAAAGAATCAGGATATGATTCCTTGCT